TAAAATCAAAAACATAGAAATGAATAATCATCTTTATTATCCATTTCTCTAAAGCTTTCATCTATCTATTTTCTTTGTAATCTTGCACATTATATGACTTCCTCATTTGAAACAAAAAAATTGTTTGATCTTCAATCTCTTGAAAATGTATTCTTTTTGCATTTGATGTATTCTAAATAGTTGATTCTGGTTAAACTTGAGTTTCAACTTTCATTTCTCCAAGTTTTTTTTTCTCTAAAATGCCAAGATCTTATCTTTCATGACTTAGTGTTTTGTGTATCAATCTACTATCATTTTTTTCATTTTTTTCATTTTTGCCATGGTTAAATTGAGAATCTCATTTATATCAAATGATGTATTCATGCTTGTGCACACTCACTCTAATATAAAGTAAGAATAATGACAAAGGAATCACAAAAGATGTAAATGATTTTATAAAATATCTTAAATACTTTTTACATAATCTTTTAACATTCTCTTTTGTTGATATATTGTTTTCAATTTTTACATAGATGTTTAATCACATTAAGTATGTCAATTTGTGATTCAAATCCATCAAAATTTCAGTATAGAATGTATATGGTGCAAGTTGGTACATAACTAATTATTGGATATATCAATGGCATTCTCGATTTCATCACTCCAATCATAAAATCTGCATCCAACAAGATACATATTAAAAATAATGTTTCTTTATGTAACTAAGATGCATATTCAATAGATTAAAAATTGATTAATGTGGTGTTGAATTATCAACATGCAAATAAATGACTTCTGTTAACCTCTATACACTCAAGTAAATGACAAGTTTGATATGATATTATTATAACACTAAAGTTTAGAGAGAAGTTCACTCGAAGATGAAAACATAAACTCTACATATGATACAAACCGACAATGATTTTTTATATATATAAATCATAACAAATACAAAGAGATAATCTCTCATCTTCGCTATTCATTACACTTCTAATGGATGGATGACATGGCAGATAACGTTAACAAAAAGACAAATCGCTGACATGACGCTGTCAACTAACACATTTGACGTTTGATTTAGCCCGTAACACATATTGCTCTAGCTGCATTTTCTAGATTTTTATTTCTTTAAATGCAAACTTTGAACAACCAAAAAAACTAAAAGTTTGAATAATTGAAGTTAAAGATCAAAACACAAAGATTGTTTCAAAAATATATCCTAAATTGTGTTATTAGAGCTACAATATGCTCTATTATATAAGCAATGGTGTAAATAATCTAACTAGAGTTTAAAGAAATTAAATGATACATTTATAGCAATGAAAAAATAACATAAAAGATTTAATTAAAATCTTACAATCATGCTAAAGTTTAGTTTTTTAATCCAAGTACATTTTGAAATTGGAATAAAATTTTGTTTCAATTTTTTTATTGAATGATTTTTAAGCCATAATTTCACTCCAAAAAGTGAACATTATGTGATATTATTTTTTTAAAAGAAAGATTTAGTGTTGATTGAATGTGTTAGAAAGAATGAAATTGATGTAAATGTATAAAAGTATATAAATACATAACACTCTATTCATATAGAATTTTTTAAAATGAGTTTCAAAGAATAAATTTGATATGTCAAAGGATTCTTTTATACACAATACAACCTATCTATAAGTTTATTTTCACATGTTTTGATATCTTGAACTTTAGCAAAATCTAGTATGCGACTAAAATATCATGATTGACTCTTCTTGCATTCTTATGCGAGTACAACGATGAGAAACCAATAACGGTATGTACGTGGTTGTTGGAGTGGTGAGCAATCTCAATAAAGGTCATGGTTGTACCTTCTCCCTATCCTCATCGCCATTGCTACCGCGTTGGCAGCGTGATTCTTTCTGAAGTGGTGGTATTGTGTCACCCTCCATTCCACTATTCTCTCACACAAATAGTCCCATTGTAGATTTACATTTGATGCAGTTCCATTACTACACCAACCACACATATTTCTCCCTCCCACCACAACGAAGTCCATCCTTCCGTCCATATCTTATGCATGTCTTCATCCAAGCATTGAGTCACAATCGAGTCTGTTGCCCACCATTTCAACTTCCCAACTACTTCTGTTTTCCGTCAACTGTATGTTAGAACGAGCTCTCAGCTTCTCTTTGCTATGTCCTGAGTGGTCTTGTGTCACCATCCCATTTCCTGTCCCTTTGTGCTTAGGATACATCCGTACCTATTCGAACACCTACCTTCTGATTGTTAGGTCTCTTCTGGATAGACATGGTGCTCATGTTCTCCGCGCCCTAAGACTCTATTAAGTTATTGTCAAATCATAACTCTCTGGCTCAATTTGAAATAGTCTCTGGTGATTTGTAAACATTGTCTCTCTCTTTCTCAAGAGGTTTTCTACCGTCCAAAGCAAAGAAAAAATATCAATTGACTTGAATAATATGTGGATCTACTTGGTCCTGATTTCTGTGTCTGATTTGGTACCTACTGATGCCCACTTCAGCGGACACTACGTGTTGATAAGAAAACTTTTCAGGAATGCATTAAAAAACTTTCCCATCTATCGTGGGTAAGATGAATGACCATTCTCCTTCTACAACCCTTCATCATTATTGAACTACAGATAAGTATTTCCGAGAAAAAACTCACATGAATTGCATTATCCTCGTAATCGTGAGAGGATGCTGGAGCCAGTATAGTCATCCACCTACGATTTGATAGAACGCTGATACCAGATTTAGGTAAATCCATGGAATTAGTCTCCTCGTTGTGTACGCACACACATTCCAACCAAGATGATTATTTTATGATCAATATTGTTAGAAAGTTAGACAATCATTTTGCTCAACATCTTGATTCTTGAGATATATTAACATAATCTGTTAATATGGTTTTGAGGGGCATCCATCTAGAAAAGAATCTAGATTAAGCGGATATGTGGAAGTACGATATGATGATTCAGAATCTATTGAGATGACTCAATAGTTTTGATTTTTTATTTTGCAAGACTTGGTAACAAATATAACTCAGTGACCAATCAAATCAGAACCAAGGCAGCACCCAACCTACGTTCAAATTACATAAAGTTATTTTTATTTAACTATGTAAAATGTAGTTAAATAGAATATCTATCATAAAATGTTGAGGTAACATACATAACATGTTCATGTATGTTACTATTTTATATATTTTAGCTGATGTGAGCTTCAATCATATATGGACTCACAGTTACAATTCTTGGTAAAGTCAGCCAGGAATGCTGAGATATCCTAAGAGATATGTCAAAAACACATTACATGGAGATAATCATGTGAAATGAAGAAATTAATCATTGTGACTTAATGTGGTACAAGGAAGTAATTAGTATGGTTGACATACCAAAGTGATTTTATACGTCACGATGATGAAATATACAAACCGCTGGTTCAAAATCCGCATGTGAAAATCAGATTCAAGTCGTTTTACTTAACCAGATGGTTGAGCTAAAATACAAATAAGATATTCGATTTAGTGAAGTCACTTTCGTCCCATGGAAATCCGTATTGCACGTTTTGAGATAACTCGTATGCACAGTTTCCAGATCTTTGACTTCACATTGCAAATTGCATTACAGTATTATGACCCACGAAAGCTGAATCAATTCGACACTTACTAAAACCGCGGTAAGTTTACAAAGCTGCAGCTAAGTGAGCTGTCTACAACTGGTCAGGTCAGGATCTCGTGATAATGACTGTAGGAGGTCCTGCGATGCAGGGATCGTGCATGAGTCTGTCGAGGGATCACAACGTCATGTGTTATGAGCATCTATCTACAGTGCAGTGGATCCGGCCGGCCATGGGCCACTTACCGGTTGCTCCGGTCCACGGGCTGTTTTGTACAATCTTTCACGACGGTCCGCTATGCGCCATGCCCTTCACTCTGCGCCGGCTCTTTGTCGCAGAATTCCCTGTGACAAAACACATATTCATGCCATGCTTTTGCTACCCGCCAGCAGGTGGGAATCTGTCACCAGTTTATGATCATGAAATCATCATCTTATTTTAGAAAGGCTCATGTACGCATCGTCTCCTGACCCTGCTCACTTTGAAATAACACGATGATTCATCTGCGAGTTCCAAGGGGAGGTCGTTGAACCGTTCTCTCCATGAGTTTCCGATGTTCGCATTAGAAGCTCATTCACGAGGTATCGTGTACTGGCTCTTAATTTTGGTATAACTGTGGTTAAAGCAAGAGCGAATAATAAGTCACAAAATACGTGTGTCAACTTAAAAAGGTCAAAATTCCTGATCTTCAAGGTTTCATGTACTGACTCTTATCTTCTAGATACAAACTTGTTTCGAGCAAGGCAACAATACAACATAAAATACTTGTGTCAATTATTGAAAGGTCAAAATCTTCAAGTTTTCATGTACTGACTCTTATCTTCTAAAAGAACATGCTTCAAGCAAGGCAGCAATTATACATAAAATCCTTGTGTCAACTATAAAAAAGTTTAATAATCCGGGTCTTTCGAGTATCCAACGGTGATGTTATATCTATTCGAGGAAATTCTGGAGATGTTCTCAAATGAAACGTATATTGCCTCCACGCTAACAAGTCAGTTTCAATCGGCGAGCACCAAATCGCAGGCTTAGTCAAACATATGAAGTAGTCAACCTTTCAAACAAATCAACCATATTAAGGACCAAGCAAGTGTTGTACATGAGTTCCAGCACCCATCCACAGATGAATGGATCCAGCATGTGAGCACAACAGTTAAACTACGTGATTGCATCGACTCTCATTGCACCGCTTCTCATCAACAACGGAACATCACATTGGAGTAGAAGTCAACCACCACGGGCTTTCACCTACTTGAACTCGCGAGGCTGCGCTACGAACTACTACATGACTTGCTAGGACACAGATTTGAATTACGTCAAAGAAGGTGACACCTCCGCAGCATCTTGCCACACGAAAGTCACCAAGAGGACAAAACAACAACTACAAGAACAACAATCGACAATCCAAGTGAGAGAAAAAAGTTGGGACCCGATTGTGTACACGAACTTATTTGAATTTCCAAAGCTCCCAACGAGCAGAAAAAAGAAACCGTGGTAGAGTAGAGGCCTCTAGATCGGACTCCGTCAACGGTAATTACATGATCAAGAAACGCACCAACCCCGGCGCGACAAATTCCCTAGCCCATGATCGTCCTAACCTGGGATCTACCGATCTAGCCGCATGTAGTAGGAAGGTCGCCGTAGTCCTCGCTCGCAACCAGGCAGGTACGGACCTCGAAGTTTCCGATGCTTCCATTCGACGTCCTTGGGAGGAGGAGGAGGAGGTTCTGTCCAGTCAGGCGGATCCAGGATCTGAAGAGAACTTGACCCGGCACTAAATGCTGCCTTCTCAAAGAAGCATTCAGAGCCGAGTTTTTTTTAAGATCTTCCACCAGGATCGACACGGGAGGACACAGCATAACAGGATATACAGCAAGATACACAACATGCAAGGTCTGAGGACCTCTCCCCACGAGCAGGCAAAGCATCAAACGACGCTTTCCAGTCTGTACAGCAATAATTGCTCGAGGGGCGAGCACAATGCGATGGGCCGGGCAGCCGCGAGCGCGAGGGGTCTTCGGGTCTTCGGGGCAGGGCCATGTGCCCGGGCGCCAACTGTCGCGGCAAGCGCGTCCGTCCTACACGGTCGGAACCGGCGACCCCCGCGCGGCCCCGGCACGGGCGACGGGCCTGCTCCTGCTCCCCGTTCGCCCCATTTTGAATCGGGCTGCTGCTGCTGGTGCCAGGACGCGGAGTGTGCCGATTTGAAATAGCCCCCAACTACGCGATTTAGCCCCTCGGGCCAGCGGGCGAGCTGGCACCCTGGCCCGACGTGATGCCAACGTGCGGCCGCGCCCCACGCTCCGATCCGCCTTACGTCATCGCATCCCCCCTCCGCGCTCTCGCACGTGCCTCGTCACACAGACGGGGAAGGGCCCCGTCTGCCGTCTCTTTCTTCTCTGACTCTCTGTCTCACGATCCTGCTCTCTTTCTTCTCTATCTCTCTCTCGATCCGCTCGACGAGATTTCCATCGGCGAGTGATTTCCATCGGCGAATGTTATGTTTTCTCTTCTTTCATTTTCATCAAATGACTCGACAACGAGGTGCAAGGGGTGCAAGGGCAACACTGCTTTTATAATACAAATCGTCTCGTCTCACATCAAGTGATAAGTTGGTGCCGAGAGCATCCAGGTCCGGATCAAACTGGTCTCCGCTGCGCGAGGGATGGGGACGAGGTGGGAAGGGTGGGGAAATACTGACGGGAATAGGAAGGTTCATGTTCCTATTGATTGATAAAAAAACAGCATGTGAGATGCTGTTCAGTTTATCAATCAATGGGATCGTGACGATCCCATTGATTAACAACACAATACACAGTAGAATCCCGCTGTACCCGCTGGAATCCGCCGAAACCGCACCAATTTGTACTGAATTGGGTTGTCAGCGTGAGCTGACAACGCAATTCACTACAAGAAAAGGTGGCCGGCAGAGACGAAAACTCATACTACAAAACTAATTTATCTACAGAACAGTACGTGACAAAACCCCTTCCGTAGTTGGCATTCAGGAAATGCCACAATCGATCAGGTCGATGCATCGCAGAGAACGATTCTCAATTTGAAAGAAGGCCCGGATCTTCGGGTCGAAGCGCCTGAATGTGAGTATGCCGAAGGAGACAATCCGAAATACTGATTGACCCCAAGAAACGCGAGGGCACCCGATCAATCAAATATATTCTTCGAGAGCATCCGATCAGCAGCGTCGAAAAATTTACACCAACTCATCACTATCATCGTCGTCATGTTGGGCCTCTTGAGAACCAAGAGGACCACCAGGCTACGGTACTAGAACCCCATCCCTCGTGCTCTGTGGCTGGGGAAAGGCGCCTGCCTCGGAGGAGAGACTACTGGGTTGTTGCAACACGCATGAGGCTGCGAGGATGACGGGATCATCCATGGGATCGAAACTGTCCCCAATGTTGTTTTATTGGTTTGATGAAAAAAATAATTATCGCCCCAGCAAGAATCTGGCTGGCTGGTCTCTGCTGCGTACTTGTTGTTGTTGTTGTTGTTTCTTCTTCTTCATTACGTCGAGCAACCGCAAATAATCTGTACAGAGGGAAGAGAGAGAGAAAGAGGTAACACCGCGGCGCCTGGCTCCCGCACACCACCACCACCACCATCACCACCGCCACCAAAACCGCAACCGCACTCTATGAGAAAGCAATCGACGAGAAAAAAAGATCGTAGGGCGCCCACAAACTGTCGAGAGGGCACGGCGTCCGAGAGTCGAGCCGCAACCACGGCTTGCCCTTGCCGCTCCAGTGCAACAAGCTCACGGGGCCCGGGTGCAAAGGCCGGCACCGCCCGTGCAAATTGTCGCCTCCGAGGCCGTGCTGGTTCCATCTGTGCTCGATCGGTTGCACGGCCCCGGCGAAGACCAGCAAGAAAGGCGGAAGCGACCCGAGCTCGTAAATCCGCTTCTGCTCCTTCTGAATCTCCATCCACGCCTCGATGATCTGCGTGTACTTGTGCCTGCGCCACTTCACCAGATCCATGACCATGACCCCCGTGTTGAAGTAGCACGGGCTCCTGCCGTCGAACGTTGACGCCAGCGCCGGGTCTGACCAGAAGGCCGTGGTGAAGTACTTGGTGAAATTGGCGTGGCAGTACACGGGAGCTCCGACCGAGTGCTCGCCCAGGCTGATGCTCCAGAGCTTGGCGATGTCGTCCACCACGACCAAATCCGAATCCAGATAGATGACTCTCTTGACGCACGGCTCCAGCAGGTCCGCCAAGTAGTTGCGAGCGTAGTTCAGGGGCTGTTCCAGCGCGCTCCTCACGGAAGAAGAAATCCGCCCCTTGACCTTGGTTTCGTCGAAGTGGTACAATTTAAACCTCAAAAACGGAAACGTGGAATGCACGAGAGACTCGAGCTCGGCATCCCGGTACGACACAAGAAAGTGGAATATGACGTTCTCCGGGCACTCCGAGTGCTTCAGGATCGAGAAGATGGCCGCCATCGAGCCCCGCAAGTAGAATGCGTCGAGCGTCATCGTCACGTGCACCGCATTCTCGTCGCACACCGACTCCGAGTGATTGCGCCTCCCGGAGGATGCGCATTCTCGCCCGTTGCGGTATGCCGGAGCTTCGCGGAATGCCGGCAGGGCCGACAATTCGACGCCCGCCTCGCCCGCCTCGAAGAATGACGACGGCGGTTCGGAACCGCCCACGGGGTACGCTCGAGATACTGGCATGGTGATCAGCGGCGACCTCCCGGCCCCTATCCCAGACGGAAACATCACGGCCGCGGTGGCAAATATGGTGGAAATACACCAGACTTTCAACGACCACATCATTGCCTCCCACAATCGCTCCAACAGGGACGCCCAAATGCTGCAATTGCCGACCGGCGACGGAACGCGCTTCGAGAGCTCGTGCGCAAGCTTATTCTTATCCGCCTCTTCCACCACCACCGAGGGCAGAGCACCCAGCGAAGCACCGGAGATCGCCGAGTCGGTGCGTTCCCAGCACCCTCTCCGTCCTGCGCCTCTACTGCACGCAATCATATATTCACCCAATCTTCCAATCTTCCAAATCTTCAATCCCGGCTCGTCCTGGAGCCCGAATGACCTTCCCGCGGCCAAATTCACCTTCCCGCGGTGGCAGATTGCTCTTCTACCCTGTGATTCGAACTCGTTCCCACCTCAATTCGCGTCACAGGGGATGTTATTTCTAAACCGGCATCGGCGGCGCACGAGCACACGGCAGCCACATTACTCAGACCGAGGTCAAACGAACTCTCGCGTCCTCGCCCGAGCCACCCAAAGCAGCAGCACCAGCCTCTAACGCACGCTTTGCCCGCCAGCCGATTAAACCTATCTACCTATCGTCGAGAGAAGGCCAACCAACCCTCTCTCGCACTCGCCCTCGCTCGCTCGCTCTTTCTCGCCCACCTCGCCAACCTCCTCCTCGTCGCCTCGTCGCCTCGCCAACAGGGAGCAAGGCGACTGATTCAAGACGCAGACAGACAGATAGACGGACAGAGAGACAGCAGACTCAAGAGAGAAGAGAGAGAGAGAGAGAGAGAGGGATAGAGATGGAAATGGCGATGGATATGTTTTGTTCTGGTTTTCGCTTGTTCTCTTATGCAAAGCTACACCGCGGCCATCCGAACTATAATTGCACACCGTACTGTATTTAGTTACTCCGGGTCGGTCCCTCTACGCTCGCTTCGCTTCGCTTCTCTCCGCTTCTGCCTGCCTGCCTTGTCCTGCCTGCCTGCTCTGCTCCTCGTCCTCCGCACGTGATTGACAGACAGTCCGTCAGAATCAGAGCGAGCGAACGAGCGAGCCAGAGAGGAAAAAAAAGAGAAGAGCGCTCAAGAGCGAGCTCGGAAGAGCAGCAGAGGAGGAGGAGGAAGAGGAGGCAGCAGCAGCAGCCAGCAGTGGGAGACAAAGCTCCCTTCCCGTCCCTGCCCCCTTCTTCACCTCCCCTTTCTAATTTCTACCACCCCCCGCCTGCCCTGCCTGCCCGCCCGTCCGCCCGCCTGCCCCAGCGCAGGGCCGAGCGACACAGTGAGCGCTCGCTCACTCGCTCGCTCAGATGCTTCTACTGCGACTCCGCCTCCTCCTGCTACCGCTCCTCTTCTTTGTCTTCTTCTGCCCCGCCCCCGGCCTCCCCCTTTTCTTTCTTCTCCGACCTCGCTCTCCTTCACGACTTCCGGGGACGCGTTCGCCGCTCGCCGCTCGCCGATGGCCCCTCCCCGTGCTGTCGCCATCCGGGACCCAGCGAAGGGCTCGCGGCAGCGACGGTCGCGACAGCGAGACCTTGACCGGGACCGGGGAGGCGAGCGCGAAGACCGTGACGGACCAGCGCGTAGGCGGTTGTTCGACTGGCCAGCTGTCTCGCATCGTCCTGCCCGATTCGGTCCCTTCCGGTTTACCGACGCCACCAGCAGTAAACTGCCAGTCACAACGGCAATTCGGGCGCCACACGGTTAGGTTTGCGCGGCGCGGCCCGCGACGGGGGCGTGCGAGGGTCGCGGAGGGAGGACGCGACGCCGTCGCCCTGGGACTCCGGCGGCCTAATAGCGGGGCCGCTGACGATTTCCTCCGAGCTTTGGGTCGAGACGCCGCTCGTCGTCGTCCGCACTCTGAGGAAGGCAGCGATGGAGCTATGGAGGGAAGGAGGCCCGACCGCATGAGCACCGCATGACTCCGACTCGGCCAACTCACGCTCGCAGAATTTCCTGGGCTACGCTTTGTCGCTCCGCCCGCTCGCTCGCTAATTGTATTTTACAGTGCGACTACACGTTCCTGCGCAGGGTTTGTGTCGCTCTACGCACGAAAACACGGAGTCCGTTTGACTTTCGGTGTACGAAATCGCTTCGAGACCACACACGAGGGGATTTCATTTCATTTCATTTCTTCTCTATTCCTTTCCTTCCCTTTCCATTCCATTCCTTTCCATTCCTTCGGCTCCTCTTGCTCGGTCTCTGACATGGTCGTTTCGATCAAACGACCTTTACAGTGATTTCTTTCTGGGAAAGCCTTGTGATATTCCTTCTTGTATTTCTTGCTGTCGCGGACCGAGGAGGTCGAGGAGCGAGTTCACAATCGCACACGTTGCAGTTTCCTTCGCTGCCCTTTCTCTCCCTGTACTTGGTCAAGCCAGCAAGCTGGCTGCCCTGCTGGTGCTGCTGGATTTCCGTTCGGTTTATAGCTGGTTCGATGTAGACGTCCTTTGCAAAAATTTTCTTTCATTGGGGATTTTCCACCACCCGCCCCATCTGTCGATTTTACCCTCCCTCGGCCGCACCATTGTACTGTACTGGGGAAAGAAAATTACGGAGGAAAAGAATTAACAAGGATTGTCCTTTCCGGTCGCTCGCTGATGACCTCCAGTAACACACAAGCAGGGCATATACGCCTGCACCTTTTTTCTTCTTTTCCTTTCCTTTCCTTTCCTCAATATGACATGCTCCCTTTCCCCAAGAGCTGCTTCCAGGCATCGTTTCCGAGAAACACATGTTTGGGGCAAGATCGGAATCTTCTCGCTGGAAGAGCCCCATGCACTAGGACCTAAACGCATTTCACTTTCTCACGATTTTCCCCTGACTTGCCGGTTTGGATTCCAGAGCATTTCACAGACCACAACAGGTATGCCCTGAGGGCGGAAACGCACCTCGTTTCTTGAATCTTTTATTTTCGGAGCAAGAGGTTGTCGCTGTTTAGCAGATTCCTTTCCTTCCAGCTCACTTCTGCGATCCCCCCGTGGCAATCGCCGATTGGGAGAAGACCGCGTTCATTCTCTTGCGTAAATCTGCGAGTTTCAGCAAACCCTCCAAGCTCGCTTTGCTGTGAGTTCTCCCCTACTTGGTCTCATGCGCGTTTTACCTTTTTCTTCGCCCATCGTCAACTTTGTCGTACTTCCATGCTGGCCCACAATCGGAGCTTGAACACGTGGACGAAACTAAACCTCCTTCTTCTACAACCCAGTATGGCGACTGTACGTGAGCTAGTCTCCACAAGCTCCATCTCTTCCCAGCAGGCCATGTATCCAGGTAACGTAGTTGCGGAGACTACGTAAAGACAAAGTAAACGAAAGAGAATATATGTTTTTGGTTATTTAATTTTAAGCCAAACTGCTGGTGGTTGGGTTCCAATTCCTGTCACATGCCATATGCCGGGTTTATGAGAACTAAAAGCTTTGGGCATTCGTGAAGGTTGTTCAACAGGTTAAAAAATGGCAATATGGACATTAATGCACGTGGACAAAATGGAAAAAGTGCTCCTTACATATGGACAAATGTCTTAGAGGAGACTCTGGTCATCTCCGTTCAAAGTCCAAGCCCAGCCATAAGAGCTCAATCATGCCCATGGTACTTGATGCACCTTGTTCCTGTCTACAGGGTGGTTCGTGTGTCAGCGTATGCATGTGATTGCTTCCTGTGAAGCTGTGACCAAAACAAATACGTCAATCCACCGTATTTTCGTAGTGCATTTTCTGCCGCGTATTCTGCCATATGCTCTGTGCTCGTGAAGTGCCCTTGTTCCTCCTTTCATGCGTCTTGTGATCAGGATCCTTGAACCGCAAACCTCGGCCTATTTTTATTTCACAGCGGACCCCAAACCTCCACAAGTCACGTCTTTACGTTGTTGCTCCTCATGTTATGAAGGTAGACCCAACTTGCCGAGGTGGTGGAGGGTTTGGAGAATAATGCAAGTTAGTGGTGTTCCAAAAAGTCATATTGAAACCTCTCTATGTGTGTCTTCATCATTGGAGTGGACTTAAATATCGCCTCGATGGGGATAGTCAAGTTCATGTCAATCATTTAAATAAGTTCTGGATCATCTCGTCAGGATTTCGAGATTAAACATGTTGCAGGTGATGAGTCTCTGTTTTTGTCGTGGTTGGTTTATTCTTTGCTACAAAAAGTGAACAAGGAATCTAGAGGAAAGGATTTGTGTGATTGAGTGCCACAGTAGGAATGACATTTCGAACTGTCCCGAATTTGTCAAGGCTTAAGTGCAGATGTGGGAGGCATTCGTAGCGAGGCATCGGGCCCCGCAGTAAAACCTTTACAGGCAATTATGCCAGACCTATCTATTGTGATTGAGCTGTTAACGACCAATTAACAACCAGCTCATCAGACGATCCGAATCTAGCAGCTATTGGATACAAGGTTTCTAAGGTCAAAATATTATGGCGTAGGAGGTGTTAACTGATTGCCCTTGCTGGCTGATGCGAGTATGACATCTGTTCAATCATATGAATCAAGTCGTATGGTTGAATATTTTGAACCGAGTGAGCTGGCCACAGTGAACACCAAATCTACAACTTCAAATGTTAACCAGAAGACTTTTGTAGTATAATATCGTCTTTATGTGATTTTTGAGATTATGATATTCAATATGATACGCATTATAACTTGACTTCTTTGTCCAGTGACATTAGCAGCATCAAAATCAAGCAGTTTCAGCAAAATGTTCCTCGTTGGCTCTACCTTTCCAATCAAGAATGTCTGAACTGTCCTAAGGTTTCTAAATTAAGCCATAGCAGATCCTCCGAGGGGAACAATAATATCGAGGAGGTTTTCTTGCAGCTCACATCTCTCGGTTGTCTGGCTCCCAAGTCTTCCATGAAAGTCCACTCTTCGAAGAAGGGATATTCTCAATGTGTTGCTAGTTCTTCGCCTGCCATCGATGTGTGATCTCGTTTTTCGTCGAGCGTGATCTCGAACGAGCTGAATGGACACACAAGTACTGAATCATCATAGACTCATGACTGCCCAATCTACTTTCAGAACAAAGTAGTAGACTGATTGTAGAAACCTACATCTTTCGTTGCATGGCACCCTTCACTTTCCTTTTCTATTATTGTTGGCTTTTTCAGCCGCCTGGGCTTTTCCACCCGTCGGCATACATTTCGACACGTTTTCGTAAGTGTTAGCAGACGCAACTAAAAAAGCTGGAGGAGCAATTCACCGGAAATCTCTTTGTGGGAGCACAAGGACCTGCATGGCGAAGGACCTGTGGCGAACTGAAGCACGGCCTTCCAACACGGCTAGCTTCATTCACACAAGGAAGCTACAAGAGTGCAACCGACACACGGAGACCATACTGTAGTATGCAAATTATATTACGGTCTCAAGTCTCACATGGTCATCGAGCAGTAAACTCGGAAGCAAGCCTGGATTCAGGACAATGTGAAGTTCGTAGATTCACCACTGTGAAGCTCAAACTTGGACTGCAAAAGTCTTCTAAGATTCACCGAGTCGGAACAGTATCGTTCTTCAGAGAAGCCCATAGGCTCATTGCTAGTAGTGCATCCAGCTGGTAAGCTGGGATACTTCGCAATAGCCCTCGTCTTCACAACTGTGTTCTTACACATTGATGGTTTATCGACAGTACTTGAACATCCTGCTCCACACCATGTACACAGGTAAAGCTCGGATTCTACTTTTCTGCACTTGAATGAATGAGGAGAATGTTAAACACCGTCGCAGAGAATATCGCATTCATCGGGCAGGCGTACACGGAAGGGCCAGTAGCCCAACACAGCCCACCCCCTCAACAAAAAGGTACTTTCTCGTATGCGCACCTCATTGGTACTTCGGAAAATAGTGCCATTTTCTTATCATTGGCCTCGTTGGACAAATGATAGGCATTTATGTTCTCCGGTAAAGACCACCGGTACAGTACAAAACACAGGAACGAGCTCGACCACGCCCCGCTCACACTGCGCACAGCGATGCTCTGAACTGTAGCCTCAAGCTTCATGATTTTCACTATGCGCTTGCAGATCTTCCGACTTTTCGGAGAAGTCTCTGCAAGTTTCACCAGATGTCCGAAACGACGAATTTCTCTGTCGCCTTGGCGGCACTCCGGTGGGTTTCATGGTGAAGCGAAATCTCTGCAGGCTCCGTCAAATCAGAAGCGCATAGCGTCATGCAATTGCAATTGCCGTCGGACAAATCCCACCGTGCGCAGTAGAGCCATTTTTATTTCTTCTATATTAACACAAGTAACAAAACAATGTCAACTTTTAATCAAATTTAATAATAATAATTCTCGCTGGTTGCGTGGAGCAGCCAGCCGGAGAGGGGATGGAATCAAGCGAGCATCCCCTCTCCGTAGCCCTCGAGGTGGTCATCCTCTAGGCAGCAGCTGGAGAGGAGAGATCAGAAGCTCTTGGAAGCTCATGGACTGAGCTGCAGCTGCTGCTGGAGGAGGTCGCCGTACTGCGGAACGACGTACTCATGTGGAGCACGTCATACGTGGTACGATCCAGCATGGTCCGGGCTAAGGACAGTGCATGGTACAGTGAGGAGATGAGTACTAACTACATCCCTCGATCTTTACCGATTCGCGAGCTCCCTCGGTTATCCGGAACGTGATGTGGTGGACGGGCCGATTTGGATGTTTGCTTCTCTTTGAATCTATGGGCCCTCGCTTTCTGCAACCTCCTTTCCTACAACTCTGTCCACGCGTGCGACTTCACGAGCTTCTATAGAATTCTCGCAGTACGAATTGTGGGTGAAATATTGTACTTGCTTCCCTTTCTAGATGTCGACTGCCTATCTTGAACTGCGCTGAGTAAATTTTCCATTCAGCAAAAAGGGGAATAGATTTACTTCCACTTACCCTGATTGAATAAATATATAAAAAGGATGACAAGATTCTGAAAGTATATGGGAGAAACCAATATGGAAGATGTGGCAAGTGATGAATAGCATCACAATGAGAAATATACTCTAGTTTACTTAAGATATATGAACTATCTAAGTAAAACTTGTTCGAACAGAAAATCAGTTTGAAATCATCACCCTATTATTAGTTGAATGTGGATAGTTCATCTAGTGATATATGTAGAGCAATGGTATTTTATGGTCATTAAATAGATTATATAGAAAAAATATAGAGTATGGTATCATATATTGTTTCATTAGCGGGCTTGAGAGCAATTTCTATTAAGTTGTTGATGTTTATATTCATAACTTACTTATTGTTGCTAAATTTTCATAATTTGGGTTCATAGGAGATACTTGTATATGCTTGTGTTACTAGTATTATTTTAGATATAAAGTTTTGTGTAGAAGTCCAATCTTCCTCAAACAACAGTATTTTTGCTCTACCCGATTGCAAGGGCATATCTACCTTCTCGTGCTAGAGCAAACATCATAAACAATCTACATCATGAGTAGCTATACTCTACTCTGAATATAAACATGAAACTTGCTGCATCTAAGGTAGATTACACATTGACAAATGACATGTAGATGGTTGCAACAAATAAAATAAACATTTATGGTAGATTATGTGACTCATCAAGAAAGAATCATGATGCATCATTAATTCAAGAATATGCATATTGTCTAAATAAACTATGTAAACAAGTCCTAATATTTCAAGAAAACTAAAAAATTGTATATCAATTTATTTAATAACACTAAATGAGTTTGAGATTGGTAACAGTGGTATATTATTTCTTGCTTGTATGTATATATATATATACATACATGGTAATGTTAAAACTACCACACACAAATTGTTAAAAAATTTTGAAATTGTTCAAGTAGTATCATGTGCTCAATCTCAGGCTTTAGGCAGCGCTTCACAAGTGCACAAGTGTCAACTTTGCGATCGGTACACAATGCACGAACATGTGCTCAACGTATTGTTTCTCACATGAATCTTTGCAATAGTTGCAGTCAATAGTTATTAGTCATTGTTCTTGAATTGTGTACTTAGGAGTATCATGTTTGATTGTGTTTTCTGCATATATGTACCAATGTGTAACAAAAACACGTCAGGAGATGATACTTGTTTTTGTATTTTTAAAAATTACATATGTGGTTATTTTAACATTAGATTGGTCGTTTTAACATTCCCTTGCATATATTACATACCACATCATGGTTGAATTAGAACAAATGATACATCAATCCGACATGATGGTTTAAACTTCATTTACAGGATCTTCATGTTCTAATTTTTTCCTACAAGTATTACGAATAAAATAAAAAATATTTTATTAATATTCATATAAAAAATATACATAAAATTTGAAATATTTTCTTTCAAATATTTTATTTTTAGATTTCAATAGCATAAGAAAAAAAATTTAGAACACAATTTTCAACAATTTTCACTTTAAAATTGAATTTCAATAAACATAGTACAAATTGTAAAATTATCAAAACACAATCATTGCATGCATGATTTATAGAAACTATCACATATTTATATTTAGATGTTTGAAAAGAAAGAGTTATAACTCAAAATGACAATTATAATTTTTCGTTCATAATCATAATTTTAAAAAAGTACAGTTACATCAAGTTTTCGATGCAAAATATTCAGATTTTTATGCTATCAAATATAAATCATAATTTAAATATAAGAGATTACATTCAAAAATAAATATTATAGGTTAATTTTTTAGGCTTCAAAATTTTTAGAATTTAATGAATTTAAAAATTACATCTTGTAATAACAATGTCATCTTCTTAATGTTTTGTTCTTACATTTTGTGACCTATTTTCCAATTTTTTATGTTTTTATTATAGAAGATAAAATCTGAAAAAATATTATTTATACACATATGATATATAAAAACATATGGCTTGTAGTTCGCAAAAACTTAACCTTGGTTGAAAATCTATTGAAAATCAATTAAAAAATTAACAATTATTTTTCACCTTGGAATTGTTTAAATGATCATGAAACTACTTTTTTTTATGTTATGTTGATACAAAGTAAAATAAACTTTTTATGTAATTTTTTCAAACTTTATCATGTGTTGTTATTGATTTTCATCTTACATTTATTTTATCTTGCCATTACATATTTCATGGCCATCCTTTTTATTGAGAAATAGATTTTTGTTTGTACATAATGTTCAAAACTTTGTGAATATTTTTTCATTAATCCAAAATTTATGTGTATATATGAAGAGAAATTATTTTTCATAAAAAAGTTGTACATGTCATATTTCTCATATCACATCACAAAAGCAAGAATATATTGTGCAGCCAAACCAAACTGCTTGTATAATAGTAAATTTTTTAACTTAGAATTTCCAACACTACAGAAAATTTTATTTTCAATGCTTCATAGAAGTACCAATCAGATCAAATTGATGGAGTACTTTTCAAGCTTTGGTTAGCATTATATTTAGTGATATGTAGTAAAACACAATTCAATGACAAATAATTTAAATTCTTAGCTCTCACACTTGTGTACGGTCAATGATCAAAACTCTATAAATTAGTAATTTTAAAGATGAATGTCTAATATGCCTAGTTCAAATTTTGAAGACAACTAATCTTAAATTTGAGTGAGAGACTAGTTCATTTGTTTTATGCTCTAGTATCGCTTGCTCTATGAAGGAGATGAATGGATGAGGAATGAAAACGAGGCAATATATAAGGATATGGATTTGCACAAAATGAATGGCACTGTTAAACAAAATCCGAGCTTTGAGCCATTGCTTGAAGAGTCAATTGTCTTTTGAAATTGAAGAATTATCACATTGTGAATTATAAAAATTCTGGTGTATGTCGGTGCAAAAAACTACCGATTTGAAAAGATAAACACAATTGCAAGTAATGTGTGTTACATTGAAGCACAAGATTGGATGCTTCTTTCTTTCGCTAAAGACAACTGATAATTGAAGAAAATTAAAGAACGACAAACTACTTCAATCTTTCACAGCGTCGAATTAGCAAATGGCTGTAATAGATGAACATTTGAGAGTGGTTGCACTACATGTTACACTCTTCAAGATGTCACATCAACATGAGTATAAACTTTAGATTTTCTAGGTAGATGTTGAAATCATTCCAGTTATTGTTTTTACATGCAAATTCTATATAGTGTTTGATGGTGAGTGCAAAATAGTTGCAAAACATCAAAAAATGATCATTAACAAGACCTTTGAACTACATTTTGACTCCAAAACTTTTGCATTCATCTCAAAAGTATCATGAACTCTTAGAAAAAGTATGTTGGTTTACTTTAACATCGAGATGACTTCATAACACATATCACATCTTGCAACACAATCTCTTGCATATTGTGTTGGCGCTTCAGACGACCAAGGAAATTCCAAAGGTTTTCAACTTTGATAGAATGAATGATTTAAAGATCACTACGTTTGTAAGCATCTAATGCAATGTTAATTTTCAAATCATTTTTAATATTCTCCGCATGGTGTGAGCTTTTTCGATTAGGCATAATACTTTCAACTGCTTGGATATCTCCTACATCAATATCCATATTTTTTTGTTTCATTTTGCAGCCTCTACAATTTACATCTCATTCCAATGTCATTTTAAGTATCTCATACTAGTTTGGCATAATTTGAAATCATTTGTAAATTATTTGACAAATTTTCTCTCAATTGGAGTATCCAATTGATGGATGCATTGTCTGACAGAGCTAAAAACATTATTGATCATATTGTTGTGTAATTACGCAACTGCAACAGTGTTCTTTAGATGGGATAACATTGTCAAACAAATTACTTATTGGAATTCATCAAAAAAAATTTAGCTGATGGAACATCATCAACTAAACACTTTCACCGAGTTGTAAAAGTTGTTCTTGTACATATATGATACGATGTGCTATAATGTGAGAGTTGAGTGACATTGCAAGAGCAAAGTAGAATGAGACCTTCAATTTTGAAGCTCATGAAGAGTTTATATCTCATGTTCAAAGATCACGAGTTTGTTTAACAGTATTAGCATGTCAAAGGGTTGGGTTTAGATCTTTGGTTTTTTAATCACACAGCCAAGGAACAAGAGCATACATTTACATCTTCCAAGATGAACGCAACGAAGTCAAATTTTTTTTTTTGAACATACAATCTATCAAATGAAATAGGAATGTTATAGTGCGTGAAAAATCATCATGTTGAGATCAAATCAAATCATCAAATTTTGGAGATTAACAAGCTCCTGAAAGAAAAGGTGGTCATAACATTTTCTGTATAGAAAAAATCTAGGTCCAAAGGAAAGATGAAAGAATTATGAGGACGGGAAGATGGGTCGACAGATTGCATTTGCTCCACAGATGGAAGCGTTCTAATTGTTCAAGTCAGAATTGTCATCATATTCCAAAGGTAAGACTACGACATAATTATCTTATCTTTGGTGAGAAGCAAAAACATACAATCGGCAAAGGGAGAAGAAATCATCATGACTTGATGGATCTGTTCGTGAGAATGATGAACAACTATTCTAATACCTCTTCCGTCACAGCAGACTCTTTCCTGAAATTGCAAGACCTCTTCTCGTGCAAGTCCGCGAGATACACCGCGTCATCAAACTCCTTGCATCTTTTCATGGATCTCGGACAGATGTTGTTTGTTGACAAACACTAGCATCGCTCCTTCAAAGCTCCTCCTTCTGCAACATGCAATGCAGCTCGTGTTACAAGCATCTGCCTTATGAAGCTTGTCCCCACTGTCCACGACGAAGACCAATCGTAACTGCTTGCATTGTAGCTTGATATTGGAATATGGATGATACATGTTGTAGATGAAATCTCAACGGGTAATACAAAACTTGATGGTTCCAATAAGCAGTTTGTGTTACAATGAGATTACATCAAGTAATTTAATCTATCTCAAATTTGTGTCTAATTTACTTTACTTGAAAATATGCACGATAGACATTTGCCTAATTTGCAGTGTCATGTCAATGAGGTTTCAAAAAGATCCACATACTACATGTCTTTAACAAAGCTTTTATTTCTTCCACATTGTGAGTGAGGGAAAACTTTCTTGTTTGATAACTATAAGGCCACTTGAATCTTGGTGAATGTAAGTACATCATGACTTTTCTCAAATCATGAAGGTATTTTTCATATATTTTACATATTGCCAACCTTCTCATTGTTAATGAAATTCATTCGTACATATCAACATCAACAACAAGAAAGCAATTATCTTTTATTGATCGATGGATTATTGATGGATTTATAAATGGAATTGGTATTTTTAGTTTTTTTGAGGTGAGAGTTTAAAATATATATTTGTCACCTTCCATATCCACATGATTTTCAGAAGTCTCTCAAGCTCCATATTGAAGCACATTTTACTTTGAATATTGTCTTTTGCACATGTTTCCACTCTAGTTTCATTAAAATACAAAATATACTAATCTACTTACTTTAGCTACATTGATATATTCACATGATATATCGATGTAACATAAGATGTCAAAATCCAACAAGTGCTGAAGATTGGAATTAAGAGACATGTATGCTGATAAGAGAGATAAATATGTAATGTTTGGATTTGATATGAAAATGTCATTAGAACATATAATTCTTTCACAACACATCAACAATGGTGCTAAATATGCAATAATTGTTGCATATATTTTTGCTTATGCAAGTATCTAATTAAAGATATCATATTCAATGATATGCTTGGTTGACTAATTTTGGTGGATTGTGGTGGTTGGATTATACGCTAAACTTTTTCGTTAGATATTTATTGATCTACCTTCATGTAATATCTTTCATCATATGCATCTCTCTTAAAATTATAATCATTGTGTATGTTATTCTAATCAACAGAAATCTAATGAGAGATGGCAAACATAACAAGTACAGCGTCTGTGTGTATCTCGGGCGACAATCCCTATATTATAGACCACATTGAAATTGAAGGCTAGAAACAGAATCTATAAATCCTCTTCTCCAATTGCATGGATTCCAATGGTTGGAAAAAGTTAAGACCAAAGATTCACGGAATTATCGAAACAGGATCCGAATGTTGAGAATTAGGCAACAAACTGCGTCGTCGCAGCGGTACGAACGAACCGCTCGCACTCGTGCTCGTGTTTGTTTTCCAAAGGGGGAGAAGGAATTTTAGGGCTGGTACTGCAGAGATCGGAGAGTTGACGGGCGATTGTCGGTCCGGAAGGGAGCTCGATCGATCGATCGATCAGAGCGGCAATGGATGCGGATCGCAAGAGCGAGGGGAGAATCAAGAGCAGGAAGAAAGGCTCGAGCGGTGGACGCGAGCAGATTGCCGCCGGCGCCGCCGAGAAGAGCACATTGAGTGGCGTCAAGGCTGGGCGAGTGAGGAAACCGAAGCGAGGCAATCGAGCTGGTGCCGGACGGCGTCGCCGTGCGTCATTCAATGATGCGAATGGCGCTCCGAGTGTTGTGAGTGGAGGAGGCCCCGATTCCGAGCGTCGAAAGCCCAAGAAGAAAGGGAAATTGGATGATGTCCGAGACGCTTCTGATGATGAAAGGCTCCAGCAGTCCTTGGCCTTGTTTGAGTCCAAGAAATCCGCGTCTAAAAAGCCCAAGTCGAAATCAAAAGGGTCCAAAGCCAAATCCGAGGGAGAAATTCCTGTTCTTGAGCAAGCCGAACTAGCCATGGAGGTCTCGCATTTGGGGCCCAAACCCGTTACCTTTCTTGATAAGGTGAGTGCGCTCGAAAGCCTGTTCTTCGTATCGTGAACTTCGCTGTGGTTTTAGAAAATAGTGAAATCTTCTGGGGAAAATTTTCTGGCCAAGACAGTCCTGAGTCAATTCTGCTTGTTGTGATCGAGCAGGCCCGTGCAAGGCTAACTGGAAGCCGATTTCGAATGTTAAATGAGTCACTCTACACCTGCAAGTACGTATGGTCAAGCTTGTCCCAATCGAAGTGAATAACAGAGTTTCGTCTTCTTACACTGAGTTGAGAACTCATGCTAATGTAGGTAAAGAGAGCCTGCCTAATTTATACGCAATTTGATTGGCAAGAGATGGTCATACAAACTAAACTAAAGGAAATTGGAGTTGCCAATATCTCAAAACACATCTTTTCCGATGGTATACTCTGTTGCCCAAGCATATTTCTGTAGTTCAATTCAAGAACCGTCAAGTTAAGAGCTCCTGATAGTTGTACAGCCTTCACTTATTATTTTTGTATGTGCACTGTATTATGTTTCAGTGGTGATGAAGCGTTTGAGCTTTTCCAACAGGATCCAGCTGCTTTTGATCTGGTAAGCCGGTAAAGTGCTTGTAATAAATTTGGTATCTTGAGTTTCTTTGCCTGCCTCTTACAAGGAATGACAAACCATGTAATGATCGGAGTTAATTCTTGAGTTTGAATGCTTTTCCTGGATAACACCAATTAGGAACCTAAGGCACGCACGTTCAAAGCAAAGAATTACGTCTCTCAAAGTCGAACGCGTACAATTACCAACGACGGCAGGTGTGAGATAGCTCAAGTTATTTGTTGACAGTGGTAGGTGGAAATCGAATTCGTGGCTGAAATTTCGCTTGATCTTTGTTATATATGTGAACAGTATCATACAGGATACCAGGAGCAGATGGCAAAATGGCCCGTGTTACCTGTAACCGCGGTGACAACTTGGCTGAAGGCCCGTAGTCCCAACCTAGTAGTAGCCGATTTTGGTTGCGGTAAACTTTCTTTGACCTAACGCTATATTTGATATCACTCTTATCGAAACATGTGTGGGATTACAAGAAATCAAAGTATGTTCTAACTGTTTCGTTGGATACGTGGCCGAGTTCAAAGGACTCAAGCAATCGCAGTTAGCGCCACACACAGTTTTTGACACGAGATTTAATAGTGGTTAATTTTCGTGTCAAGAAATTTGTGTGGCAGTAACTGCGAAATCAGTTCAATCTGCGAGAGTGTTTAACTGTATGGGTATATAAATTGGCCTATGTGTTCATCACTAAGGTGTTTTAAGTGAATAATGATATACGGGGTGGCTAAGTAAGTAGGAGCGGTTGATTCACAGTTATATTGCCTTATTTTCGTTTTACTGCGTTATTCTCGTCGTTCCACACTAAATCTAAGTTCGTATATACATACTTTTCGGCCCCTATATCTCAAACTGTTTGCATATAAGCCCACTGAGTCCATTTTGGAACTGTCTCACTGAGAGTAAACATGCCTGGTCGGTGCAGGTGATGCCAGATTGGCCAAAAGTGTTCCAAATAAAGTGTTTTCCCTGGACCTTGTATCCTCGGACCCTGCGGTGATTGCTTGCAATATGGCGAAGGTTATATTTTACTTCAGAAAGCTAAAATCTTGTTAAGAGCGTTCCGCGAATCTTGGCCAAACAGTACGCTTGCTACGATGTTTGTCGTTGCGGCATTGTCGCATCATGTGAGTTGTCCGTCCTGGTTCGAAATTTGATGGCTTTTCCCTTGTCATCTGCAGACGCCGTTGGAGACTTCATCCATTGATGTTGCTGTGTTTTGCCTGTCTTTGATGGGAACAGATTATCCAAAGTTCATAGAAGAAGCGCATCGTGTCTTGAAATCCAGGTATCGCACAAGTTTTTATTTCTCATCCCGATTTGTCTTTGATATAAATGGGAACGGCTTTTTTGCTATGATTTTCGTTCTCCATGTTGCAAACGACTTATAGGAGGATGTCAGGTTTTGAGTCCTACTGGAGCAGGACTGACGTTGATCACCAGGATTTGTAGAAGCAACTGAGAAATCGGGGATTATGCAGGGGCTGGATGGTAGTTGCAGAAGTCAAAAGTCGTCTCGATGCGGGCAATGGTGGTGCTGGCCCTCAAGCATTCATCTCTGCCCTCAAGTCTTTTGGATTTGCTCTTGATTCTCAGGTAGCTGCATGCTTCCAACCCGAGGACTCTTCATATATGTGATGTCTCATTTCGACCTCTGGTGGCGGAATTTTAGACTTATGTCGTGTATCGAATATCATTCTACTGCTATATTTAGTTACTAGCCGCATGATTTGATGGCGGTGATGTGTTGGATTCTACTGAAATCTCTTGAACCGTGTTATGAGTTGCAGGATAGCAGTAATAAGATGTTTCATATGTTTTACTTCCAGAAAGAGGTGAGCTACTGGCTGCAAGCTATTTGTGGGGTTCGGGGTTCGGTTTTACGCGAAGTAAAAGGCTAGAAAGCACATGACACACATGACTTTAGACTGCTCCCTTTCGGTGTTGTTACCAGAGTTATAGGCTGTAGCATATAGTATACGTCTAGGCTGATTTCTTGGCGGATTTTGTTGTGAAGGGATACAAGCACGACGCAAAGCGGAAAATTAACTGGCCAGAGTTGAAACCATGTATATACAAACGGAGATGACGAACGTAAGAGATGAAAAGGATCTGGTCCGGCTCTAAGTTTAGTAATTGGAGAGAAAGTTAACATGAAACAGAGTTGCTCCTATTTATCTTGGCACATCATGCCGTCAATTTTGTAAATTAAGCAGCTCGGCGGTTGACTAGAAGTGCTTTCGTAAAAATATAAACAGTATTTTACTGTTTACATTTTTATGTGAGGTATTTAGTGTTTCCCGACGGTGCATGCTTCCCGATCATGCGTTCCAAGCAATTTCAGTCGGTGGTGATTTGTATGGTGCCTGGGCTCGTTGTGGATGGAATTGGCAATTTGCCCAGAATGGGCTCCTGATAAGCAGGCTAACTCTGTTTACGAACAGTTCACAGTGCTAGCGGCCATGGAAATATTGGAAGACAAGGTACGTGTTTTCAGGTGGATTGCAATAGGCTGTAGCGTTTGCACTGAACGTGTGCTACTGTTGTACTGTGCTCTCGCGTGTTTGATGTTGGGTGGTTCCTCTACAGTTCTGCCTTTTGCTTTCTTTACTATTTTTGTCTCATTTTGTAGCCCGTGCTTTGGGTCTGAAGTTGTGAATAGCGACGTGGACTACATGTATAGAACAGTAAAAGAAGTAATCTTGGATGCATCCAAAATATATATCGGATATAGAATATTTTTGAGTATATATCGGGCTAAAGTAGGCATTACTACTTAATGCACGAGTGGACTTCGGGTTGAGTATACAATTCGTATTTGCAATGCACTCAGACTCAAAAGTCTGCAACCAACTTAGCATCAATAAGTCATGTATCAGATTGCCGAGCAAAAATTGAATTTTAAATGATAAGTAATGCAGCTCGTCAGTGCGTAATGTATACATTTGTAATGCACTCTTGTAGTTTGTCACATTCTCTAAATTCGGGATCAAATTCAATAAAAGACATCTTTCCGTATCTACCTTGAAGTAGGATCATGCAATTGTATCAAGTATAGTGTCAATTGAGTGTTGCAATCTGGACCTCATAGTTGGAAGAATCCGAGCACGCGGTACACCTGATGCAGCACTAGTACAGTAAACTGGTTAGTTCCATAGTAATGTAGGTGCAGACATCGTCGACACAACGCTTGAAGACACAATCAGGAAAACTAGGCCGAAATATGAATATGCGATTAGAGCGACGTACAGGTATTGTCACGGTAGCCAGTCATCACCTATACCGTCGTCGTTTGCCTTTCCGGTCTCCGTGTACCTCCATGTGAAGATTGTGAGCTTCGTGTTCAGGAAGTGTTATAACTCCTCGAGTTGGCAAGCGTTTCGGTCCGCCTAACTTTGTCTTTGGAGTGTTCGGTGACGGTAGTGAAGTGCTAGGTCGCAGATTGTCTGGAGTGCGATGACGCGAAGTTGGCGAAGTCCCAGGTCGAATGCACTCTTGAGTGCAATCAAGGGAAGTTGGCGCTGGCGCAACTCTCGCTAGCTTTGGCTTCGGAGAAGTTTTGATAATAGCTGACGCAACATCCCCAAGATCTGGTGGTGGATTATTCCGGCATCCGACGAGTTAGACGAGGAAAGTTGGCCGAATCTTAGAATTTTAGGACAAGTTTTGATGTACCTGAAGGGCGTAATATGTCTGGCACGTTCACGAAGAGGACTACAGACACTGACCCCTTTGAGGACAAAAAATTGAGAAACTGTAACTTAAAGTAGATTGAGAGAGGTAACTATCTGTACTAATTAAAGTAGTAGAACCCTCGGGTGTTGAGAACTAGTATGGATATAAGCACCGTGAACAGAGATATGACGTGAATCGATCGAGGTTTTAACAGACACGATACAGGGACACGGTACAGGGACACGGTACATGGACAGAGGAATTAGGGAATTTCGTTTGGGGGATTAGTCGAGTATGTTGCAGACTTGCAAATGCTTCCCCTTAATAAGTGTGAAACACGTAACTTGAGTGAAAACGACCAGCACAATGACATAGCACTTGAAACTACTTGCTGAAGTATGGTATACTGATGTTGAGAAGAGTATGCTAACGGTATAGAATACAAAAACATCATCTACGCCAGGCTTGTAGTCACGCCAGCGAAAAAAAGAAATAGTGTCATTTCTGGCCAAAGATTGAACCGGCACATACATGAATTCACAGTTTCATTCTAAGTTTTAAAAGATTATTTCTCCGTCCAAATATCTCAGGCTCGTCTGGGACCTACTGCCTCTTCTTCTCATAATTTGTCCGGGATGGCATTTCCGCATTTCAGATTTATGAACTCTTGTGTTTCGTATTGAGTTCAATTCAAGGTATGATACAGAGAGTGCTCTCCTACCATGGAAGGTTTTGCAGTCGAAACTACTAAATATATCCATCTAAAGTGCAATTGACATCAAATGTGTCTAAACATGATAGTTGGACGTCTAAGGGCTGAGATCTACAGACTGATTTACTACATACCAAGTGACGATGACCTCTGTTAATGTTATAAAGGTGGCCATCCCATTTACATCTAGGAATTATTGATGGAAAAAGAGTGGCACAAAATCCTACATGTACAATTTCAAACGTGTGCTTCTCACCTTCATTGGATATGATTTGGGAGTCAGGGTTTGGGGCTCAGTAGTTATACGCTACCAAGTTGGATCTCAGATGTTACAAAATAATATGAGCCACAAATGACAGAGACACTTCAAAGCTGATGAATAAGGCTCAGGTCAATCTCATTACGTTATCCTCTTTATATACATCAGTTTTCAAGCATTTATGGCTCATAGTATTATCATGACTTCATTACAATCAACGCATTTATATCTTGGAAAGTCTTACTAAAAATTAGATATTTTTACATCTACGTTGCATATGAGGAAAAAGAGAGAACATTGCAAGAAACGACAGGGGCAAGAGTGCGACGACGTTACCTGGTGGCTCATCCTGATTTGAATCCTCGATGATGATCCTTGGTTTGCTATTCTGACATGAATTCCCGATTACAATATTCGGTTCGCTCTTATGACAGGATTCTCCAACGGGGGTCCTCGGTTTGCTATCGTTCAGAATCTTCGATTTTTGTTCAGAGGCAACGTTCAGCAGGTCCTTCTCATACGAGGGATGATTTTGAAGTAGACCGTACCCATAATTGACTTCTGAATATCCTGGCAACGGTGTCTCACCTTCTAGTCGCCGCACCAACTGTTCCAGCTGTGAAATTTTACTCCGTAGAGAGGTTCTCAAGCTGTGATCAGCAAGGTCGCTAGAAACTGTGTTGCTGTCATTTTGGACATCCACGTCTAAAGCTTGCTTGATGCTTTTCCTCAGCTGACGAAGCTGGCTAATCCAATCTGACCACAGCTTGGAGACAGTCTTCGTAATGGCCTCAATTAGTGCATCCCAAAAGATATGCACATGCTTTTCTATCTCAGAAATAGCAACATTCTTCACTTCCTCTCCAAACCCGAAGTTTTGCAAGAAAGTCAGGAGCTCGTCAGTAGAGGCTTTTTTACTCCTACGTTTCCGCATTTCTAACATTGCTGTTTTGAAAGTTGTATCATAAGCTTTTCTTAAAGCTGTACGGATGTGTTTCTGCAAGCCACCAGTCGATCCACCGCAAGTATATCTGGCAAGAGTTCGTTCCAATGTATGCTGCCATTGAGTTTGAACGTCTCGAAGTAGAACTACACATTCTCCCAAACATTCCACACTAACCTGCATTCATAGCCATCATCGAAACGTTTATATTCTCTCACTTCAACTACAAGTCATTGCACGTAAAATCTTCACAAGGTTTTCCCATGAAAGCTAAACATAATACAGATACAGTTTATAGATGTCTATAGATGAAGCAAGCATTGTAAGATGCGTAATATACCTGGTCAAGATGATTATCTCTCCATGCCTCGTTCCCATTCATCTTGACAATCAGATGCTGGTAGACGGCATGAACAAAACTTGAGGCTTTCTCCTCAGTTGGCTGCAGCATTTCTCTTGCAATACCACCAATAGCTTCTGGTCTGAAACCACGCATCAGGACTGGTGGTAGATCCTGGTTGACGGCGGTGTTCGTGACTTTGAGAGAATCGGGACCTTCAACCTTCAGTCGCAAGTACTTTAGATCCTCCGGAGATAGGATACACTGCTGTGAGTAGGAAGAAAGCGTATCCCGTATGCAGTCAACGTCAATGGAATTTTCTGGAAGGAAGGTCTCAATCGCAATAGTATCCTTTGCCATGCGGAGACCATGCTTTATCTCTCTGTCGAAGAACTTCAGCATGGATTCATCGTACTGCAGCCAGGATAAATTGTATTCACAACGATTGAACAACATCAGAGATTGTACATGGGCAATACAAACACACGCTACATTCTAACAAATTCTACAGTCTACAACAAAATGTCACATTACTACCGTCCAACATACCACCCCGGACTATGTCTAGGGTGCATGGCCTGCTGGCATGTTCGTGGAATCTGGAACTTGGAAAAGATACTCGAAACAGTTTACCGTTGACTCGTGTAAATACATCTTCAGCGTTGAAAGTGTAGATTCCAGATTAGACTTCAGCTTGACACGGCTTGATGGGACTCTGACTGATTGAATCATCTCCAGAAGTTGCGGAATGTTTGTCAGCATGCACATCTTCATTCTTTGTTCCTCACTCATTATCAGAGGACATGTCGCCTCTCTAGGAGTTTCACAATATTGATTATGTAGTACGGGGTTATGAGCACTCAAATGTAGGGAGGCACATAGGAGTGGCAGCACCGGGAGGACGTGAAAGCGGTTATCTTCAAATATGCTGCGGAGTCTGGCAGTGGCCTCTGTAGAGGTCAAGCGCCGGGATTTCAGAAGGTTTCTTGTTTTTTTCAAGAATACCTTCTTAAGAGCTCTTTTCAAATCTTGCTTACAATCAAAACCTGCCACGATCTCGGATGCTGAGTTACTACCCGTGCATCGCTTCTCTGCAATCCCTACCACCACAAGATTGCAACGCTCAGAAGTATCAAGGAGCAGTCGCTCCAAAACAGGGCTTTCTTCGAGGACCTTCTCTGTGCCAGCATCCAGAACATTTTTGTCTAGAATCAAAAGTATCAAAGTCGTCCGGTCAATGGCATCCCTTGTCTCACTTTGATGCAAGAGGCGTGGATCATTGGTCCCAGGAACATCCAAGAGGCTGATCCCACCTTCAGAGGACGGAATCGGAGCCTCAATGACCAAGTCCTCCAAAAGCAAGCCCAGATTTTCTTCAGATAATCTTCTGCGTATGGCATCTCTGACATAGAGCCTATCCACAACACATCTGCACAAGAGGAAAAAGTTTTATCAGTGCAATTTACACGTAAGGTGAATAACTTTCCTACTCAATTTCGTTCTGACCTCTGAACGTACATGCTGATGGCAGGAACATGCCACTGAGTACGACTCTTCACGAAAATTCATCTTCTCTATAAACTCTGACGTGAGAATACATAGCTGATAAAACCCTTTGCCTTCCTTTTGGGTGTCTCCAATAAAAGACAAGATCTAAAACTGTGATATTCATACAGGGCATTCAGATATTGTCCAGAGCGGAGGCTACAGAAGATAGGTACCCCTGTGATGGGTTCGCTTCAATGACTTCTTTGTTTCCGAGTGAAACTCGTTTTGCAAGCTTCTTAAGTACACCTTCTATAAGCTCCTCGGTTGGCGTGGGCAGTTGATCTGAATCCAAGGGATGTTCTACTATTCTCAGCATGGATTGCCACAGTTCCTTGTGCTCTTTTAGCTTCGCAACCGAAGAGTCTTGAGGAGTATTCCTATCAACAGGTTCTGAGGGTTGTTGTTTATCAAGGAACAATCGAAGCTCTCGCCAGCGCTTTCTCAGCTTTCTTTTCGGAACCCACTGAATCCGGGCTACGAACTTCGGTCCCCACTGCACCGCCATGACTTTAGTAGTGCCCGCATCTCCCATCCTCCCGTTCTGAAGAAGAAATGGGTACCTGTCATAAAACGCTAAATGTTTCGAGAAATATGCAGCTTTGTCTCGAGCACAACATATTCCCAACAGACCACACATAGCTTCCTTCTCGGCCTCAAGATCAACGTTATGCAGGTGAACAGTGTTCTCTGATTGCGAACCCACTGATGTCGAGCTTGGATCCTCCTGACTATCCTCGTTCACGTCCAACTGAACCTCATCGTCATGATTAACACCTTCTAGTCCTCCTCCATGCTCCAGGACAGTATCTCTTAGAACGGCTCTGCTCTCATCCAGTTTGAGCCCCTGTTGGTATTCTTCTCCTGCTTTACAGGTCATTAGAGCAAGAAGGTTCTGTGCAGAAGAAATTTAAGTCAGAAGACCGTCAACCATATTTCCAAAACGGCTGGGAATAAACCCAACTCAGGCTTCAGCAGAAACAATCACATAATCTTAAGGATAGTAAGTAACAAGAGTAACACGTGCAAGGACCATAAGGTTATCACATGCACTACGCAGAAATGTAGTGGAAACGCACAACAAAACCAAGCGAGACTTACGTGCATAAAACGGACATCAAGTATTTGAACAAGAAGCAAAAGACATGGTGTTGAAAGAGAACAATAGGAAACACGAACTGCATATGAAGTCATACGCGCAAAGACAACAGCGTACAGGGATAGAGGACTTATCAAAACATTTGAAGCGGTGCGCATCAGCACACCACAGCTCCTCACTGACTTATAGGAGCCTCTGAACTATCTTGATTTCAACGTTCAATGCGACTGCTTTCCAGGTAAGCATTATGTCGGATCGAGATTATGAACCATAGGTATTTGTGGAGCAGTGTGCACAATTCTTTACCAAGTAATGTCAAATGATGCAGTTTATGGCTAGATTCAAGGGCTAAACCCTTCGCTAAGTCTGGTTCAAGAGTGAAGATAATCAACCAATGGCATGCTTTTATGCATAACAGGAAACACTGGATACTCCGACTGGAAGATCATGACTTGAAATGGTATACTCAGCAAAATCCCAAAGCCAAGTCTTACTAACGTCGCTCGCTTGTGATTGTGCTTTCGACATCAGAATATATGGGTGTGAAGAGGGGAGCAGATGAGATCTGCTCTTCTAAACTTAGTTCAACGTGGATGTCAAGCTTGCCCTCCACCAACGTAAAAAAAAATCTTGACGTAACGAGATCTGACCCTAGTCTCTCGAAAAGTGGCACATAAATAGATCGCACACATATCATTCAAGACGAGCCGAAAGTTTATAAATTTCCCAAGTTTTACGTACCTCGATCAGATTAGTCATACAGCCTACAGTGAAAATCTCCTCACATTTTCCATACAATACATTCTTCCAAACAGTGATACAAGTACTTCAAAGTACACATTAGCCTAGACAGCACACAAACCCTAAATCGTGGTAAGATAAGCTCTCGGGTCCTGTGGATTTACAGTGGGTTTAAGGTCAAAAACCTAAAACCCTACAGTTTGTAACAGGCAGCTGATTGTCGATCAAGTAGAAACACAAGCGTCTCGGGTCAAGCTTGACAGAAACGAAAGAGTAGTAGAGAGATAGGAACTGTCAGCTGTCGCTGCCGCTACTGAGACTAAGTTCGAATTTCTGTGAAAACTGAGAGTTCAAGTAAATTTACCAGCAGTGTGGACTTCCCACATCCGGTGGGACCGATCACAGCGACATATCTCTTCTCGCACGGCCACAATGTCGCCAGAAGCTCATTCGCTAGTCTGTACAGATCTTCAAGAGCTTCAGCGTTCAATCCTCCTGTCATCCTGTTGGACGCAACTCCATTCGAACCGATTCCCGATTCATAGGACACACTCAGAAGCGTCACGAGAGATTGTACAATGTTGACAGCCTCGTCTGTGCACTTCAGTAGAAACCCGGTTTCTTCCTCTGGAACGGCCATCGTCAGCTCTCCTCAGCGTGCAGGAAGACTACCCTTTCACAAAAATGAACCAAAAACCAAGCCTCCACACACAAATCAGGTCCCGAGAACCACGACGAATTCCCCAGTCAATTTCCTCATCTATCATCGGGGGAGCAATTTGGTGAAGACTATGCGGAAACACCTTCAAGCCTCAAACGCTCACAGTCCAGGAAAGTAAGAAACTCCGCAGCTCCAGAAGCACGAGAAGGTCGACCTTCCGAAGCACCCCAGCCCCCGACCTGATCTAGAATTCTGCACAAGCCTCCGAACGCATCGATCACTTCACGCAATCTCGTCGCTCTCGGGCTCCGCATCGACCCAATGTGCAGCTCGGACGGGCAGCTTCGCAGAGCCAGAGCCAGGGCCCCGCAATTGGCGTCAGTCATTGGCCTGCCACCACCACCGCTCACGAGAGCACGCTCCAATTTCAATTTCTTGCTCGTTCGGACACGGGACAACGTCTTGGCGGGCCGCGGTCATCGAACATTCGAAGTTCTGGACCTATGGCATTCTGGTCCTACACTACGGGAGGAGGGGACCACTCGGCGCCGGTCCTTGGGAGGGACTGGTCCCGGGAGCATCCAGCTTTCGATCCATGGGGGACTGGCCGAGCTCCAATTTGCGTCCGGCGTTAAGACAGCGAGATGGAGTCGAGGTCTGTTTGGTCCTTTTGGTTCGATCCGTCTCCAAATACAGCCCGCCCCCAGAATAACCGAGCGGCTTGGTCGGTCTATTCATGGGAGGCAACTTCGGACGCAATGATGAATGTCTGGATCATTGTGTTACCATGTTGTGTCGTGAGGAAGCTCATGGGATGGCGGAAGGATCAAAACCATGGAACTAAATATATATCTATAGCTCAGGCCAATGGAACTAAATCTAATCCTAAAGCCACTAGCCAACTTTAGAAATCATCTCGTATAGTGATTTCTTATGTACCCATCAATCCTTGGGACATGTCACTAGTTGTATATGTATGCACATCCCTGTGTAATTCAGTACTCCTACTGAATACAATAGACTTTTATTTTAACGGGTCTACGACATTGTGTTTCTTTGACCGTGATAAGATTTGGAATTTCCAATATACCTTGATCCATCTGCAGTTTCTATAAGCTTTGTAGTCATTTTCTAATGGAAAATATCATAGTTTGCACGAAGAAGTCTAATTTGAACTCTTCTCTCACGGAATTTGTAATTTTGTGAATCCTGGCTCCACTAATCTCACCTATTAAATTTCTGCGTCAATAATTTTATGACTTGGTTTGATACTCTTACCAATGTTTCATTGCTCATGTTTGATTTGTGTGACTACATTTCATTTTTGAGTCAAGAGCGTTCACATATTAAATGCTCTTTACGGATGTCTCCGCAAAATCAACTTTGAGAGCTCGAAGTTGATCCAACTATGAACACTTTATCATTGCCCATGGTCATTTTCATCCACAATATTGTTGTCAGAGCAATGACCGTGAAGATTATTGGTGTAAAAGTATGTGATCTTATTGGCACTGGTTTCACTTGCACTGAAGCACTAGTAGCTTTGTAGAAAATTTTTTGTATACTTTTGAGAACAATGTGAGATGTATTTCAACAATTGATATATGCAGATATGGATTTCAAATTTGTCACACATGTCTATGGACTATTAAATGCATTATACTGCAATCAATAGTCCATAGAAATATATCAAGGTGGATACGATACGATCACACAATCAGGCAAAATGAATACACACACAATTGAAAATCAATCTCATACTCTTGTTAGTATTGACATCAAGTTGATACAAATATATTTAAAGTGGTGAATAATTGTATTTTTAACTCTACATTGAAAGACAAATATGATTAATAAAATATTTTTTAGTATTTTAATCTTTGTTAAAGTAATAATATATAATTCTTGAAGTGTATATTTGAAATCAGTATTTCTTATATACATGTTAAGTTGTCAATGAAATTATTTTAAGTCATCATTCATTTATTCAACATGACACGTATTTCATTTTATATATGAAAGATTCAATCTTTTTTATTATCATTAGCTTATTTATCAACCTTGTTCTATTTTGAAATTGCACACTCATGTAGTTCCTCTATATTCACAAATAGTGCAAAACTATATACAAATGTTTATGAACGGGATTCAAAGTTAAATATACAACATCTGATAACTGTTTTCAATAATCAAAAGTATTTTTTAATTCTTAAAAAAAAACTATTGCGTCACTATATGCACATCTTTCACTTTTAAACACGTAAAAGCACTTGTTTTGTCTTTCATGCTCAACTATGACATAGCTTATGCTTGAAAGGACATTTGCGTTAGTCAAGAAATTAGTCCTAAATAAGCTAGAAATTTTGAAAATCGTGTGAAATTGATTAAAGTTGCAAACAGTTTTGTTTCTCAAATATATAAATTGTTACTTATCTTATTTATACATTGATTTGACACTCGAGAGAATTTCTAATTGATCTTAGTCGGCACAAGAAAATCAACAATCTAACTTCACTTGTATATATATTTCAATTTTTTTACCTGTATAACGAATCTTTTACGTAAATTGAAACGGCTCATCAATTCTTACCATTTGAAACTCAAATTATTTTAATACTTGATGACATATATTAAGTGAAAACTGGTAAAACCAAAATCACATTGCTAGATTAAATGTTACCAACAATTTGCTATATCGCATTTACAAACCAAATCACCTGGTAATTTGGCACAAGTTACTTATCTCACATGTAAAAAAAGTGATTGATATTTCACATACAATGAATCACAGAAAATGGCATGCTTTTTTGTCACATTTCAATGTGATTTTATATATTGATCCTTATATAATATTTTTTTAAAATACCCAGAAAAAAGTATAAGTAAAAATATATATCTCAATTTCAATCTTACATTTAAAAATCAATGAACGTAGTAAAACGTCATAAACGTATTTCAGTCAAAGTTTATGACTTGATAAAGTATGTTTTCTTAGATCAAAATAAATAATTAAATATTACAACTAAATCTTACACTTGATACCTACAAGTATCAGAAAAAATGAGAAAAAATGGATACAATGTAATTTGGAAAAGTGAAGGTTTGATACAGATTAATTATTTAGAAATAGTGTGAATATTTTTACTCAACATGTAAACAAATCTAAATTATGAAAATCAATATATTCACTATATATACAAGTTTCTTAGGATTTATATCTTGCACTAAAGTTACGTCATATAATTTCTTTAATGTTACAAATTATATATTATGACGTTATTACACTTATTATTATTTAAAAATATTCGGATTTTATAGAATTTTTTTATCTATATGCTTTCAAAGACAAAGAAACATCTAAATACTAGTCAAAGCAATCTGCATTTTAGATTAATGAGTCTATTTAAAAATCATCCAGAAAATTTGAACCTTACAAAGAGAAAACGTTGGAAGTTGAGTGTTATCTGATGATTACAATTGTTATGTTTGAACTTCATGAACCTCATACTAACGTTTTTTATTGTTCAAATTTTTTAAAAATGAATTATTGATATGATAAAATGTTAAATTTTATTTTAATTACCATAATTTTTTTTCTCTAAAACTTTTTAATTTCTTGCATATATTTAGTTTTTTATATTTGTATACTTAAATACAAGATTTATATTATAAAAATTGGAATAAATAGTTAATTGGAATAATTCGTTGCAAATGGAAAAAGTAGAGTATTTTTTTCAGCTATATACATTTTAATTACATTTTTGTATCACAAGGTTCAAATAAATGTTTACATTAATGTCTGTATAAACTTTTGTTGAGATTAAACGAAATGATGAGGTACAAATGGACTAAAAAAACATGGGAACATCCCATAAGCTTGGGGAAAGAACAAAATCAAAGGGATAACAATGACGAGTCCCTGATTTTTATCAAGATTAGAAGAAGTTTGTACTGGGCCACCAACCATACCCGCAATAAAAAAGAAAAAAACAAACAAAGCTTACATGTACATTTTTGTTACATGATGTACATATGAAACTTGGAGGACTGCACTGCACACGAGTAATGAAATGAACAAATTATATTTGCAATAAGATATATATGAAGATATTTGTGTGGCATTTATTGTGTAGGTCATTAATGTTCTGAAAAGAAATGTATCTTTCATGTTTTTCATCGGTTTTTAGAGGCATACTCAAACACATGAGTGTTCGAGTTAAAATCATTATTCAAAATATATTTCACAGGAGTTACATGTCTATATCACTACAAAAATCATCCATCAGAGTTGTATGTATATGTAAACTCGCTCAGTCTTAAAGAACTGACATAGAATTGTGTTGGAAATTTCTATGATTGTATAATCATTATCATGACTTATTCAAGTGTATATTTTTTTATGTTGATCGATAACTTTTACTTCATCAAGTTTTGATGTGCTTTCATCATATTATTTAAGATATTGGATCTGATAAACAAAAAAATTTTATAATAATAAATCTTATAATATTGTAGTGTATAAGAAATAGCTACGAACATGATGTTTAGCATCTTGCTTCTAAATCTACTATTACATCATACACTTAGCTACGATCTACGTAACTAGTTGTTGATACATAAATGATTTCAAATTATTAGAACATATTAAATAAACATTGTACGTCTCTAGTTAAAGCTTTTGCTATGAATATTTTACATAAGATTTGTTAGTTCATAATGTGATCACTTTGTTGGCCTTCTTATTGTCAAATATTAAAAATTTGAATTAACCGTTTATAAGATTGTAATCTTAAAAAATAATGCAAATAACATTTAAATTTTTTCATATATAATGATTCCCTTCAAAAAATGATCCCACCGTAAGAATCTATAATGAAAAGAGAATGAACGCTTATAAGATCAAACGATAACACATACTGATATCTGACGAATTAGGCAGTAAGAAAAAAGTTTAATTTAACTATACGTGCTGGCATTAATTATGGTGCCCGGTGTAGATGGTGAAAATTGGGCAAAAAAGACTAAACGCTTAATCAATATTCCGGGCAACCCGAGGGATAAGCGCCGCTCAATACAACATACAGTCCTTGCACAAACATGAAGTAACTTCACGTAGCGCCATCGGTCCATTAGAATCTCATAAATAAAAGTCTGAATATTTAATAAAATAGGTAATACAAATCTATCAAGAGCCGAGAAATGGTAATTTAACATTTATCCTCATTGAGAAATCCCGAACTCCCCATCTGCGAGGCACTAGTTGTGTCGCATATATAGTAAATAAGTTTGTATGTATATACTCGACATCCCCTTGAATTCATTCCCAAAGGCTCCTCCCAAGGCCACGTCTTTGAGGGGATGACAATCAATGCAGCTCCAAACTTTCATATCCTTCACACGTACAAAAGAAGGACAGCAAGTAACGTACGACACATGCTATAACTGTACACCTGCTTATATATATTTCACAGCTTTTTCCGTTCTTTGACTCGCGCACAGGAGGAGTCATCCATCACGGCTTTGACGGGACGACAAGCAATGTCGGTCCAGTCCTTCGATTCCTTCACGCAGCGGGAGCATCCTCATCACGTCTGGACGGGATTTCAAGCAATGTCGTTCCGCAGCTTCATTTCCTTTACGCAGGAGCGTCACGCACACCGCACCCACCGCGAGCTCGGTTATTTGGTAGGCCAGAAAATTGCTTGATTTCTTAAGCTGCACACACACCGCAGCTTTGACGGGATGACTAGCGACACAGTTCCTTCGATTCCTTTACACGGGAGCCTCACGCACACTTCTGCTTTGACGGGATGGCAAGGAATTGTAATTAAGGAGGAGTTAACTGCATGCCTGAAGAGTGAGGCAGTCGTTTAGCCGAGGGGTCTTGGAGTAGTTACACGAGGTTCAATGCCAGGTGCTCTCCCTTTGAGCTATGTTCCAGTTCACATTCATGGATGTACAACCAGACTTTCCAGGTGAAAATTTGATCCGGCAACCTCAGTACATTGTCCCAACAAAGATCCGAGAGATACCTTGCGTTGTCCGGAAAATTGAGGCTTGTCATTTAGCAGAGCAAGAGGGTGGATAAGTACTAGGAAATTAAGACTTTGGGTATCACGAGAGAGATGTATCGCCGTGCATGAGAGATTTTCAAGTGTATGGGTCAAACGTTGTACAAACAATGTAAACATCCAAAAATCTATAACATAACAATTACTATTCTTGATATTATAGAATCTTGGAAACGGGTTGACATAAATGTGTTACACAGAAAGCTTAAAACAATTGTAATCATTGCCTTATTTACTAATAGGCTATTGTACGTTACTTCATCCAGATGTTAATATCTGTGTTCATAAACTCAATACAACTTAAGAAATAGAGCAACAAAAAGGTGGACTGTATCATAACCCCGTGCTTGAAGACTTGAGTCGCTCTGATCAATGGCCCACCTATGAGTATGGGCGATCACTTCTTTGTGTCGAGTGTAGATACTGGAAACACTACCTTGACACAAAAGCTTGGTACTCTTTAACCAAGTTTAAATTTTCCCTCAACCTAGTATATTTCAATAAATATGAAGTTATCTTCTGTATAAAACATCTACCATCTCGTGCAATTGCAGAGATCAAATCTACAACGACACCACAAATTGTATACTCTTTCTTTTGAATAGACAACGGATCATGTGAATGCATCTTATATTCAAAATGTAGATGGGAAGATAAAGCCAAAATAGAATCTTATGACGATGGAGAAAGTAGCTAGTGCAACGGTCCACCTCGAGCACGTATATCTGATAGATCAAGAGCGCAACGTAGACACGGTATCGTGTTGATGTTCACTGACAGTAATTTTAGAGCCAGATGAAACCAGGAGTATATCAAGCCAAAATAGTGATAGAAAAGTAAAAAAATGTATATAATTTACATGTATATATATGGGACAATCGGACCGTTTGCCTGAGTTGCGATAGCACATCGTCATTCCTCTCTTTATTACGAAACATTCAAAACCGAAGAAGGCAAAGCTGGGACATATAAATATAGGGGCGAATGAAATTGTAGGAGCTCGATTTGCATTGTCTTATTGGGTCACATATTCTCATCTATTCTGAGCTATGCAGAAATTTGCGGTGCTACTTGATGCTCCTGTTCGCATATAATACACAGCGGATATGTTGCCTCCTCAGCCATGGCGCACACCACCGAAAGTGGCGATGGTGCTATCGACTTGCGCACGTCACATTCGACAGTACATGCAAATAGATAAACATATCTCGTACAGGAGACGCAGGAGAAAATATGTTCCATACAAATACCCAGATCGCTTCGATAATTCGCCTCGTATCTGCAATAATAACATGGAGCGTAATCAGCTCGAGGACCCGGAAAACTCCTACAGTAGCAGGCGTAAAGACCTCCCAAAGGAACAGACACCCGCGAGAAGAACCCCACGGGTTAAGCACCGAGATGGAGTACAAGCGGGACGAAATAATAATAATAATAATAATACGCAGAAACTCGACCGAGATCAGAGCACCAGCGAAGCAACAGCAAGCGAGGAAAATACACGAGAGGGTGGAAATTACCGTATTCCTAGAGGTATATGAAGGTATTATACAGATGACGTGCATGAGCCCGCAGCACCATGGCTACTTTCGGTGGGGGTAGAGAGAGAGAGAGAGAGGTTCATGTGGAGCACATGTAGCCCGGAGACCAGAGAGCGCAGGCGCTGTAGCGGGGCTCGATCCACGGACCGACGGTCACCGACCGCATCCACTGACTTCACCTGGGCCAGGGAGGGAGGCGAGAGGGTAGAGCCGGGCGTGGGATTCAAACCCGGTCAACCGAAAGGGGAGCTACGTGGTGGGAAGGCGGAGGAGGACGTACACGGTTGACCCAGGTATACCGGCTGGAAGGAAAGGGCAGGGGAGGGGAGGGGAATATTTTAAATTTAGGTCTTTTAGGAATGAGGAGGAGGAGGAGGAGGATGGATGTCATGGACGGACAAGGCCTGCTCGCGGGCTGAATCGAGCTCTCCTTGAGGAATGGGGTGTCGATGATTTCGGCAGTCGAAGCAGCGGGTGCGCGAGCGAGCAGCGCCACCGAGGCCCCATTGCCCTTCTGTCGCCACCAACGCGAGGTAAGAAGCCGATGCGCGCACAATTTGTTGCTTGCCCGACCTCCGCCCTCTTCCTTCTTTCCTTCCTTCTCTCCCTCCCTCCCTCCCCCCCTCTTCTACCCTGCTCTGCCATCCATGCCGTTTTCTCAGCGACCAGCCTCAGCCCCAGTCCCGGCACCAGCTCCAGCTCCTGCGCCTGCGTTGCGTTCTCGCTCTCTCGTTCTGTTTGTCTGTCTGTGTCGTGCTCGCGGTGGTGAGCGAACCGAGAGGAAAGGGGTGGAGAGAGTGTGAGTTCGTGTCTGTGTGTGTGTTTATGAAGGAGTTCGTTGTCGATGCTGCTGCTGTCGTCGTCTAGGTCTATGACGGCATCGTCGTCGTCTGCGACCGACGACGAGGACTCTTTCCGACAGCGGAGAGATTGCTAGGTGGCGTGGAGAGCGCTGGGGTGGCGTTTGGATGTGGAAGAGTGGTCGATGGATTGAGGGATTGATTTCGGTGTCTGCTGCCTCGCCACACCGTCCGTTCGTGTGTGTTTGTGCGTTTGTGTGTGTGCGTTTTGCTCTGCGTGTGTCTGGCTCCCTTTCGCATTGCTAGAGTTGGAGGAAGGTGTTTGAGCTGCTGCGAAAGGAGGCCCCTTCCGAGTCGCTGATGATTGTTTTTGCCTCCGCTCCCGCTTCTGCTGGCTGGCAGATCTGGTGCAGGAGCTCAGCTGTTGTTTCAGTGCGTGTCTTACGTCCGTATCATTCGAGGAACGCACCACCGAATGCTGATGAAGGAGGACAGGAGTCATTGACCGATGTACCGGGTCGTCGTAGGATATGCGCGAGGAGCGGCGTCCGTGTTTTTCACGCCTCCTTGAGAGCAGGAGAGGAGAAGAAGCTGAAGTTGCTGCCGCCGTTGGATTTCTCGTTCGCCAGTCCGGACGCCGGGAAGTGACAAGGAGTCCTTCCGGCTGGTGCGGGAATCGCAGCGAGCAAGTTGCAATGACTCCCGGAAGAATCCGGCCCATTGGAGCTCAAATTCGTATCGCGAGCGGACCCGGTGTGTGGCGGCAACAGTGACTTCAGGGAACACCTGATAGGGCGCCGCCAGCATTCCCCCGAGCATGAACGAAATGAGGCCGCTTCCGCACGGCTTCACGGCTCAACCGGGTTTGAGCTACTCCTGCCACGAGAGAGCAATGTGACTGCAAAATGCCGCGCCGCTGCCTGTCTTCTCCAAGGTATGGTGGATAGGCACCCCTCCCGTCTACCGGGACGTTTTGTTGAAATATGAGTGACATGTCGCCCTTGAGGTGAGGCTTCGTCGAGCTTAGCACTTAGCGCCCACTTAGCGCCCAAGTCTCAGCAGTGTGTAGGATGCGGAACGGTCAACACCTCAAATATGAGAATCTCCGTGCAGCGCAGCAGGTATTGCGGCACTGGTATTCTGATACCCGTCTTCTTGGCCTCCACTCTTTTGAGCACTTACGGATTTGACATTCGCTGGTACAGTCTGAAAGAAGACGTGACTGGTCCCCAAAATCTGGTCTTGACATATTCTCACCCGACTGGACCTTTAAGTTTGCCTGTGGGTGCCGGAGAAGGAAATGTTTTGCGAGAACATCCTTCTTTGATCGGTCACGGCGCAAAGACTGCGAAGCGCCTCGCCCTGAAGCATGGAGCTCTGAAGAGGAAGCTGGCCGCCGCTGCATCACCTTATCAAGGTCCAGCCTTGCCGCGGCTGCCACTACGGAGGGCCCAGCTAAGAGTCAAACCTCTCGAGGTTACACCGAAGCCTGTACCCGTCGTGTCTCCGGTGAATTCCCCGAGATCACCTCCCCCTCCGGATGCCCTTGTACCGAGCCCTCCCACGAGTATACCCACACCTCCCCCGCAGGCTGATTGTAAATGCAAAGATGGGTATACCTCCACACCAACTGGTTCCCCTTGCGGTTGTGTTATCCCTATTCAAGTTGGTTTGGAACTCAGTGTAGACCTGGAGGTCTTTTTCCCCTTGGTTTTGGAGTTGTCGAAAGAACTCGCGGAGGGGAGCTTTCTTCCGCAGAGCCAAGTTCGCATCACAGGGGCGAATGCCGTGAGCAATAACCAGGAGAGAACTGATGTTCATGCGGATTTGGTACCCTTAGGTGTTGCGTTTGACAACACTACTGCTCAGCTGATTGCCCAAAGGTTTTGGGGAAGACAGGTTGAAATCAACGAGACTTTGTTTGGAAATTATACCATATTGTACGTGAATTATCCAGGTCTATCATCACCCCCGGCCCAAGCCTCTGGCCCGGACTCTGAAGGATCTGCCGGAGGAGGCAGTCCGAGCGGCACCGTGCCTTCGGGAAAGGCGGAAACAGGCGCCGGAACGGAGAACAGGTTCAGCCGGGGAATTATCGTTATCATTTCGCTGACTTCAGCCGCTGGCACTGCGGTCCTCTTGGGAGGAATATGGCTGGTTGCTGTTAAGTGCTGTCGGAGCGAAACAAGTGCGGTGGGAGAAGATTCGTTTTTGCCCGGCGCCAAGAAATCGGCCGGATCAACTCTTGTGAGCACGATGGATAGTTTCACGACTCTGTCTTACTCATCAAATTTTGCTACGTACATAGCTTCTGCAAGGAATTTCACCGCCTCGGAGATTCAGAGAGCCACGGACAATCTCAAAGAAGAGAATGTAGTTGGTGAAGGTGGATTCGGACGTGTTTACCAAGGTCGGCTGGATGACGGTCTCAAGGTTGCCGTGAAAGTGCTCACAAGGGACGATGATAGCGAGCTTTTAGCTGAAGCGGAGTTATTAAGTCGACTGCATCATCGGAACCTGGTGAAACTTCTTGGCATTTGTATAGAGGGAGGTGTACGAGCTTTGGTGTATGAGCTCATCTCGAACGGTAGCGTGGAGTCACACCTGCACGGTCCAGACGGGATGATAGCTCCTCTCAACTGGGATGCCCGGATCAAGATAGCTCTGGGAGCAGCCCGTGGCCTTGCCTACTTGCACGAGGACTCCAACCCGCGAGTCATTCATCGGGATTTCAAGGCGAGTAATATTCTTCTCGAAGAGGACTTCACTCCGAAGATCTCAGATTTCGGTCTAGCTAAGGTGGCGTCCGAAGGCGGAGGTGGTGAGCACATTTCTACTCGGGTCATGGGCACCTTTGGGTATGTGGCGCCTGAGTATGCGATGACAGGACATCTTCTTGTGAAGAGTGACGTGTACAGCTATGGGGTTGTGCTGCTGGAGCTTCTGTCCGGGAGAAAACCAGTGGATATGTCTCAGCCACCTGGTGAGGAGAACCTGGTCAGGTGGGCTCGCCCCCTTCTCACGTCTAGAGAAGGATTGCAGCTGCTTCTGGATCCCGTGTTGGGGGAGACTGTACCCTTTGAAAATGTGCAAAAGGTTGCAGCTATAGCCTCGATGTGTGTTCAACCTGAAGTGTCACACCGACCTTTTATGGGGGAGGTTGTCCAGGCGTTAAAACTTGTTTACAATGACTCGGACGCGAGCGACGGGAGGATATCATTCAATGGAAGTCACACGGGAGACGGACAATCTTGTGGTCATGGCACGGGTGAACCCCTCGGTCCTCAATCCTCGTACAGGCCGAGCAGCATGCCTGCGGCCCCCTTCAGCTCTGGCCCCACGCTTAGCTCCGAATCCGAACCACCGCAAAGGCCGATCTCTGCATCTGCAGTCTTGTCGAACTCGAGCAGGTTTATACGCCAGCTTTCAGGTTCTTTCCGAAGATATGGTAGTTCCGGACCTTTAAGGACAACGAGAAGTAGGCCGGCCTGGTACAAAGTCAGATATCCAAGAGGTGGTACAATGAGTGACCACCACAATAGCAAATTTGAAATTGAATTAGAAAGAGATTACTTTGAACTTTGGCCATGATGAAAATCTTGTATCCATGTACTTCATTGAGCATTTGAAGGTATCTCTTACCATTGCTTGATCACCATTAGGAAGCTTGCAACATGTTAAATTATTACAATGTAGAACATTTGAAAAGTAGCTGCTACCCTGCAGCCACACAGGCTCCGGCCTTTTTAAAGAGGATGAGGAACGGAAACAGCTAGTTTCCGTGAAATTGGTGCTACAGAGGACATTTAGCCAAAAGTTCACTAGGCATGACCATTCTTGTAGATGAGTTTGAAGGATTCTTGTACTTTTGAGCGAAAACCGTCAGTTGAATCTTAGGTAGGTGATTCGGGTCGTTGTTTGTACTCACGAACTAAAGCACTGTACCTCTAACAATGGGTCTGCCGGGCAGAGTCGAGATGTACAACTGGAGAGTAGCCGGGTTCCATTACTCGTTCCTCTCAACAAGTTACTCTATAAGCCCTCGGAAGGATTATTGGCACGCAGCTGTGAAGATCAGCTTAGCGTACAGCTGCGCAGGTTTAGTCCGTTTACTTTTGTAGATGTTGGTCAGACAACAATGTGAATAGTCTTGATTGGATTGAAGATTCTACAGGTGATCTACTGCGGTGCGATGTTTCGAAGGGTTAATGAAGTGATGAGCAGAGACGGTTTGTGAAAGATATGTAATGGCTGTACAGTTTGCGTAGGAGCCCGTTCCCTTTCCTCACGTTTAGTATCATACCACCTATTTGTTGGGTACAGAACGGCGGAAATATTTGGCGACAGACTCCTCTACCCGCGCTCCTCTGCAGGATAGTGCTTCTGTTTGAAAGAAGAACCCTTGCACTCGCCGCATGCAGAGCAGAACGAGCGAGTCCCACGAGTAGGAACTGAAAATATGCAATTCCTGAAGCTTTCTTCGAGGGTAGAAACTGCAAAGCAGCAGTGGAGCTGAAGAGACTAAAACTTGGACCACGTAATTGAAAACGCAAACTTCTCTCGTGAGAGGAGTTGTGCCTTCTGAGTTTCTTCTCAGAATGGTTGAGAAAGTTGATGTAATCATCGACGCGTAGATTATCGAGCTGGAAGGTTACAATCTCCGTAAATGCTAGACAGATTGACACTGGGAACGTAGCCAATATGTGGGAGACCGAGCGATTGGCAACTGTGAATAGCTACTCCCACCTCGTTAGGGTTCCGTCTCTGATCCGTGAGGTTACATAGCAATCACGTGACAGAGTGAAGAGGAAGTCAAGTAAATTATCCGGATACTACAAGATACGGTATTGATAGCACTGTACACGAAGAAGAATTTCCTATTCTGGATAAACGCTTCGAAACATTTTGAACTTGTTGAGATGTTCTTTGATGATTATGTTGGAATTGTAACATTACACTTGTATGGGGATTACTCCATATATGGTAAATACCCATTCCTTTGACAACTCATAACAGAAACTTGTCACCTGCTTAATTTAGTATGTTCAAACGAAATGAAGCTGACCGATATCGGTTTATCGTCATGGAATATATTAGCAGATTTCTTGTAGTTTTCGTATGGAAAAAAATGAAGATTAAATTTCTAACACGTAAGTTATTGCTTGAATGTATCATCGTTTTGTAGTTCAGAACATATGGAACAACACAAACGTCGTCAAAATCTAAGTAAAAAGCTTAATATAAATTAATAAAATACTTTATGGTGCAATCATAAGTCAGAAAAGATTAAATTTGTTTTGGACTATTCAAATATGAAATGACATAAATTCAATCTTGATTTTTCCTCAAATTCCATTAATTAATCATGATTTTACTAAACAGTGGAATCAAAATTCATTTGCAATTTATATAAAAGAAATAACCACAAGGCAAAATCATTGCAGAAAATTTGGATATTCTTGAATTATCTTGCTTAAAAATTTTCATTTTGATGAAGAATAAAGTTAGTTTCATATTTTCATTTGACAATAATCATATTGCAGCCTTTAAAAACCTACATCTAAATTGAAATTTAAGTATATAAATAATTACCGTAATTATCTCTAAATTAAAAAATTCGAAAAACATGTTCCGTCAATTGATATTTTATAACCAGGTCTTCACGGATATATCAGATTTCATTGTAAATGGAATTTTACTACATTAAATATCAATCTTTTATTCTGGTTTTATTTTAGTAAATTTTTTTTTAAAAATATTAAAAAAGCTTTTATAAACTATCTTTTGAAATAAATTATTTTCTGTATATTTATAGAAAATTTTAAGATAGAATAAAATAAAACGAACTTGTAAATTAAAAAATATTAAAAATTTTATAAATTTTTTTACTATAGTTGGAAATTTTAAACCTAAAAATTTTAAATTCATCATTACATGATGAGACTAAATTAATCCAAGTATTATCGATTTACAGAAATATTTCATAACATAATTTATTATATATTTCAAAATAAGATTATTACTTAGATAAATGTGGATTTTAAAGTTTTGATTATTTATTATCAAAAGTTGCAAAATTACATAATGATACAAATATATAACAAAAATAAATAATAAATGGACGTTAAAACAGAAACCAATGTAGAATTTTAAGTATGGAAAATATGAAGATTGTGTGAGTAAATGAGTATCACACTAGTAAAGAACAATAAACATGAGAAATGGAGATATCAATGTAATGTGATTCATCAATGTGTAATACTGGGTCTCGAGCCAGGTAATACGGCGCGTATATATTGATAAGAAAAAGTGGTAGTAGCACAATGAAGCTCCGTTGTTAAATACTCCAAGTCAGGAGATGAACCTGAAACACACGAGTTAAACTCAACAGATTGGACAAAAACTTGACATTCTAAACAAAAAATTTAGAATATAACAAATGTCAATAAACAATATCAATAATTTTCGCATATATGAGATTAGATTTATATTATTTTAGTTCTACTTTTGCTTTTTAATCTCACATAACTATCATCATTAACAAATTTTATGCTTTGAATATCTTCATTAACATTTATGTCATGTACAACATTGTAGACTTTTTTTAGCCTGCTTGCATTAGATTGGTCTAGCATTAAAATTCAAAAAAATTATTCATCATTGAGGTCAAATTTTCAGTCATCAAAATTTCAGGTTAAATATTGATAACTTCAAAATTTCAAATTTTAATCGGATTTTTTATAAAATAATGCAAAAAAGGGTCCAAATAAAGAAAATCAAAGATGATATCATATCCAACACATGATTGATATTTGTATGATTACATTTTAATTCATCAAATAGAGAAAAATAATATATATCATGCAAACAACATTCCAAAAAGTGCAAGCATTCTATGATGATATCATATCTCACATGATTGATATTTGCATTATTCAAATAATTCATCAAATAGCTAAAATATCTTTGAAAACCGTAATAAAGTTTTTTTCTTAATAAAAATAAAAAATTTAATCTGCCATTTAAAAATAAGAATAAAAAAAAACATTTTACATCATAGAGCAATCAAAAGTGACTCTAGTAAATGTCATCTTGTAGTTTTTGTCTTGAACAAATTTTTACTGTTTGTGTTTGATTTAGTCATTTTTAACAACATGAAATCTACATACATTTTTAAATCTATTTTTTTTTTGGTTCTTAATAATAAGAGTATATGGAAAAATACATGCAACACTAGTGCATAAAAAACATAAAACATGCATATATATCATAAAAAATTATCTTTAACATCATTATATTGAACGCGTCACAAAAACATAATTAATGTTTTATATTAAGAACTTTTAATGCATCACAAAAGAATTAAAATCAATATTTTTATGAAGTAGTTAATATTAGATTTTTTTAGTCTCTAATTTATGTCATCAGTTTAACTTTAATGATTCAAAAACTTTTAAAAATCAATTTTTCTTCCTCAAATAAGTTTTTGATGTACAATAAACAATTTTTTTTAATCAAAATATATAAGTCATTGAAATGATGCAATCACAAAGAATTTAAATGTAAATTACGGTTCAATCATACTCGTTAAATCACCAAAGTTTCTTCACATATAAAGTATGAGTTTTTTATGATTATACTGATAATCATAATAAATAAAAATAAATTCAAGCATTTCCAATATCAAAACATATATCTTGCCAATAGTGCCGCAGATAAATAGTGTTGAAATTGACGGTTTTTACACTTATTAAATCATGCTCGAGTTAAGTACATAATTGATAAAACTTGCACAATTTGTTAAATTCATGAGTCCTCAATGTAGTGACTGCACTATTGGCATATGACAGTTGAGCTTTTATATTTTTTTCAATAAACCCCGATGTTAGTTTGGCAAAATAGTTGCACAAAACAACTTCAACTCATATTGGGGTACAAGTGAAGAGAATGCAAAGCAGATTTTTGGTATCCAGATGAGTATTACAATTAATTCCTGATTTGACAGGTCTGAAATTCTTCAGAAGGAAAAAACATTGTGAATTGGAAGGTATACACTTTGAGGTATGCATTTTTATTCTCTCAAGCCCTATTTCCAGTGTAATTTATTTTCATGCAATATTTGATATTAGCTTACGTAAGAATTTTAAATCACTTTTTTGAACAACATCTAATTTTGAACTTATGAGGATTAGTAGTATTGAAGAATTTTTTAATGATGGATAACGCATGTTCCAGACCCTCAGTACTTTTAGAACATGGTACAAGAAGGTACTGAAGGAGATATGTACTCGTTAAAGATAGTTTCATTCTCCTATGACTTTGAGGGAGGGTTCTTTGGCCTTCTTAGTCTATGATTTGTTTTCTGTAAGTTGGTCTTGCCATCATTCTTTTTATCCCAAGTAAAAAGAATGATGCCCTCCTACTGAAATTAATTATCAACTCATGTTTATCAGGACTCAAATTGTGACTCAAACTCATGTTCTATTCACAACGAAATTATTTCTCGCGGTAAAAGATTGAATATTTGCACGTTGGGAATCTCTGAGTCTTATTCCAACTATTTCAGCAACAAAGTGGTTTAAAGGAAGAGCGGATATAATTCTTTGACAGATGGAATCACGTAAAGCTTCTCATGTCAAAGGATTAAGGAAATTTCAACGACGGATATTTGATCAAATTATAATGTGGGAACTGTTTCACAATATATGAACCAAGTTCTTTCAAGTCGAATAAGACCAAGGTACAATGTTCCGCGTACAATTTTCTTTTACAACGAACTAAACTAATGGACTACATCGCTGGTTTAGTTACAGGGTAGAGGCGTGGTAGTTGTCTTTTGTTACGGGATTTTATTCTCAGGGATTTAGACGTGGCGGCTACGGTCCATGTAGAAATTTCGGCTTTACTCTGAAACAGAAATTCGATAACTCAACTCCTCCAGCTCATGTGAAACGGAAACCCGACTTTACAGTAAAAAATGATGGCAGGCAGAGCAACCAAAACTAGCCAAGGCAAACAGGGAATCTAGCCGGGCACTAGCCAAGTCAAATCACTTGATGGGACCACTCCGAACCGGAAAACGCTTGCTTAGACACCATACGATTCACTGTACCCCATGGAACCCCTCGACTGACCTTCATCGAATGCCCTTAAGCCCACCGTCACGCATGTTTCCATACGAGTTCTTGTCACTTGTGTGTGCTTTCAAAAGTGTCGTCATAGTGTTAACAGAGTGGTAGGTTTAGTCGGGAATGTTAGCAAAATGCCATTATGTCAAGTAGGTTTGGGGAATTGATATGTGGCAAGTTGATAATTCTAGTTTACCGTAGTATTCCCTAGAACCCTCTGGCAATGTGGCATGAACCCAGAGCATGAAATTTGAGAATATCACTTCTGGCATCTCGAGTTGAGTTGTTGTTACTACACAAGCGGCTACAGTCGACCCATCGTATCGTTGAGTGCTTGAATTGACTTGAAAAACATGGATGCTAAACCCGTGAAAAAAGCCATTACAAGAACTGGCGCGTGAAGGTGGGCTGCAGGGACGTGGGGATGTTCCATCGGGTAAAACGAATCGTCTGGTGTCTCCCCAAGTGTTTTAGTCCATCAATTAATTTTCTCCACATAGGGACCAAACCCAAACCCAGGGCCAAACGAAAGAGGTATCACTCTTGTGTTGAGTGGCTATCTCCAAATGCTACGATGATGGTTCATGCATGCGTCTCGTAAAATGGGGTGCCCAGCAAGCGTCACCTATCATCATCACTTCATGGTTGACTTTATTGCATATTCGGTTTGTTGTATTACTGAATGCGAATTTTGTTAGATGTTCCAAGGTAGATATTCTCCTGTACGCCTAGTGACGCATAATGACATGCATGCATTTCTCCATCTCATGAGAATAGCGAAGAGGTTTTGACTTGTAAAACGCTTTTCACAACAAACAAAAGGGGCTCAGATTTCGGTGTTCTAATTCTATCCACGCCGTGCCTATAACTGAAATCTTGTCCAGCTTTGATTACCTTGAAACTTTTAAGCCTGATGTTTGTCTCAAAGTAGTGTGTTCTCAATCACCATACACTAGACTAACATACATAAATCAATGATGCACACTAAGAGAAGAAGTACCAAAAAAATACATGAAGTGAAATACAAAAAGTCTTACATGGATGAAACCAAAGGGGTAACATGGTGCTAGCCCCAAGTAGAAAGAGACATCATCTATGAAAATGTATGCAGTGTGTGTGTCAACAATAATACCACATAATAGACCGTATGACATATGCACCAGATCCTGACTCCTCGCCACAGCAAAAACGAATCTGGGCATGGAACGAAATAGAGTTGGTGTACTCACTTAAAGTGGGCGTCAGCATAATGTGGTTATATAATATATCCAACGTAGAAGCTCGCTGATGTAGAAGTCATTGGGTGAGCTCGTCAGACACCCAGAGGCGCTGACCTTGACTTTGGCGCACACGGACGGACGATGCCGGTGGTTTCGACGGTCGGCCCTTGAAGTTGAAGATGTGCAAACAATGTGGTGTCAACAGAGAGACGAGACGGACGACAAGTTCCCAGTTCCAGGTGCTCGCTCTCTCGTGGCTTCCACTTTCTTCCGTTATAACTGTTCTCTTGCTCTCGAGGACCGAAGCAGTTACACCACAGTTCGCCAGGTGAGTGAGTGAGTGAATGTGTGTGAGTGAGAGAGAGAGATCTAGCCAGAGAAAGTTCGAGAAGGAGACTTCGGAAACTCGTCTGTGCTGTTGACTCGCAATTTATCTCTCTCGTAATCATATGCCCTGTCAGACTACTGCTGGAGATCTAGAGTCTGGCTACACCTTGTGCCAGATGATCGCAGTCATCAGCTGGACTCCACTTTTTCCGCGCAGAAACCCCAAGGTTTTGGCTTAACTTTTCAATTACACGAAAAGGTAATCTGACGGGGGTTGGGCGAGATTTTTTCCAAGAATACCGGCTCAGTTCAGGTGCGAGATGAAGCACTAGAATTAAAGTTACAGGACGTAATCCCTACCTAACTGTTTGTCGGGTCTCGGGAGGGACCGTCTCAGGACCTGAACAGATGCTTCACTAAGCTGAAGCTGAAGCTGATTAGGACTGGTTTTATCCTCCTTGCAGACAAGCTTCACTCGAAGTCGATGTTCTGAGGCAGTGTCTCATTCCTAGAGAGACTGCGAAACTATCCAGAGCAGGAAAGTGTGTCCTCGTAAGAAAGTAGACTACGAATGGTAACATCGTGCAGAATGTCAAACCGATTTATCTCGTGTCTCTATACTCGTAGACATGACCTCAAAAGACGACATTCTTGATCGTGATTCCTGCCGCCATCTATACCTTGAGATCGGTGGAGGTTTCAAACCCACCCTGCTTACTTCACCCGGACTCAACTATGCTTTGAGAGCATCAGAGCATGTACAGGCGAAAGGGACTGCTAGGATCATATCCTAGATGTCTTGTGGGCTTGCGACCTGATAAAGTCGTTCCCATCTTTAAGGCTTTACGTACCTCGACTCATGTATGAAATGTCTCGGGGCATCAGAAGGAATCTTATCAGAATCCAGCGGGCCCAGAAATCTAACAACTTGAAGCAGAAAATCCTTGTCGTTCGTCCCAGGAGTCGAAGTGAACCCACCTTTCCCGGCTTTAGTGCGGTGCAAGTGCGGATGACGTCTAAGGTGAGTTGCTTGGAGGACAGTATGCCGGGATTTGAGTTCGGTCTGCATGAACAGATCGATATGCCACAAAGCGAACTGCATGCTATGAAAGCTGACTGCATCTGAGTAGGGAAGTACCTCGAAGTATCGAGTGTGGATCCTTCAGTGTGCACTGTTTGGCGAAGAATTGTGGTGGCATAAAGACCTGTTCTTTGGGCGAGGATACAAATTGTTTAAGAGCAGTTCAGTCCTTGATAGTTGCAGGTCTCGTGTAGTGACGGCAGGGTTCAGATTCAGTCTTTGTACCTTGGCATCGAGACTCATGACGAGGACGGCCCAGTACGAACAGCCTTGAATCACAAGGGGAACCGGAACCAGCTCGGGAAAACCAAACGGATTTATTACATTCATAGAAGTCCACATTGAATAAATGAATCTTTACAAGGTGTTTTACTAGCACAAGTTTTCATAGGATCATACTCGTTAGTTAAATATTCCACATTTGTAGTGCTTGACTCCACTCGACAAATCAATGGTGAGAACAAAAAGCGTGGCTAGCTCGGAACACTTAACACGTCATTAAACTAAGAAGTTGCCTGCCTCTGAAGGAGCTCGAGGACCTCCTTGGTAGAGTTCTAAATGTTCGATTGCATCACAAAGCAGCCCTCTAACACCGTCCGGAAGATTTGTCCATCTCGTTGCAGCTTCTAGCGCCGCGAGTGATGCGGCCTTCTCCAAATCAGCACTATCTCCTACATTCAAAGCAAGATACGACAGCAGAATCAAGGCTTGCATTTGCGCCTGCTTTTCAAAATAGATGAGCTGCACTAAGTGCCCTGCGCCAGAGTTCTCCAGAATGGTTCTCGAGTGCTCCATGTACAAGTAGTTGTCTTTGTATGCAAACTTTTGCAAGGCGACCGCAGCTTCTTCAGCGACTGTTCCATCCTTGCTCGCTAGCTGGGCAGTCAAGGGGATGATCACGTGCAGAGCAGGGGCTGGGAAAATCCGAGCAAGGCAGCCGATGGCCCGTATGCAAGGCCATTGCAATTCAGGCTCTCCGTGCTCGATCACTTTCAACAGCTGCTCGACTATGGCCTTGGCGGCAGGGGAGTTGGTTTTGAAAGCAGCTCGTCTCAGCTCGGCATCCTCGCCAGCTGCTTGGGCGATCTCCATGACGGCATTTACAGAATTCATCTGCACAGCTCCCTCGCCGGACTCGATCAGCTTCGCGAAGCAGAGCAGGGCTCGGGTGTCGGTGATGCTCTTGCTGTTTTTGACGTTGCCCAGGGCGAGCTTCCACAGAGCGTGGGCGGCTTCAGCTTTCAGCATCTGCTTGGTCTGAGGATCCTCGCGGTCGCGCTCCTGGCGATGCCGCGAGAGGCCGTGGGGCGCAGCGTGGCGCGAGTGGGGATCGGGGCTGGTGCGCACGGGCTCGAAGCTGGAGTTGCGAGTGGGGCCGTGGCCCGACGGCTTCGAGTAGCCGGACACGGGCTTCGTCGGGCCCAGCCGGCTCGGATCCTGCTGGTATGGCTTCTTCAGCGTCAGCTCCTTGGGGTCGGGGCTGCGCGGAGGCTCTGCGGGCTTGGAGCCCACGGGGCGCTTCTCGGTGTCGGACGAGGCATCCTCGGCGTCCTGGTCCACAGGCTTGGGCAACGAGGTGCCGATGTCGGTCTTCGTCTTGTCCAGCTGATGCTTGACGATGGTGTGGATGCTCACGGCTTTCTGCACCTTGCTCGTGTCCTCGAGCGTGTCGTAGGCCAGCAGCGAGACGAGCAGCCGGATTGCGCCGGCCTGCGCGAACTCGTCCTGCGCATCGGCGTTGCGCGACACCATCTGCGCCAGCGCCCACGCCACCTTCACCTGCACCTTCATCGACCCATTCGTCAGCACCTGGATGAACACCTCGACCGCCCTCTCGTCCAGGATCTGCTTCACTCGCTCGGCGTCTCGAGCCAGCACGCCCAGAGCCTCGGCCGCCGCCTCTTGCCCTGCCACCGTGCCCTCCTTGAGCAGCCGCAGCAGCGGCGGCAGCCCGCCCTCCTCAATTATCAGCTTACAATTCCTATCGCTCTCTTTCGCATAGCTCGCCAGAATCGAGGCGCTGTCGCACCTCGCGTCCAAGCTCCCCACCTGCACCACGGCAATTTGCTCCCAGATCATGGCCAGCACGGGGTCGGTAATTGCGATGGGCGGCAGCCCGACGGAGTCCGGTCGATCGTCGCCCACGGCCGACACATTGAGCAGCCAGGTCACGTCCTCAATTGCGTTGTCCAGCAGCAAGTTCACCCTCTTGAAATCTGCGGCCGACGTTATGGTGATGACCCTCTTCAGCATTCCGCTCCGCTTGCACTTCTTCGCCAGCGCCAGCGCCTTCTCCAGCGTCTTCTCCACGTCGCCCATAATCTTCCTCGTCGGGCGCCCGTAGAGGTTGCCCGGCCCAACATTGTGCGCCCGTCTCAGAAACGTGAACAGCCTCTCCACCTTCTTCATGAGTTCTTGACATTCCTGCTTGAAAGAATCGGGGTCATTCAGCGCCATCCTCACCTGGTCGCACAGCTGTATGGGGAACGTCAGGAGCTCCTCGACTCGCCCCTCCATGTGAGACATTTTAAATCACGAGGACGCCGGCCACCAGAATCAGGTTGCCGGGGAGCGATAGAGGCCCTCGTGCGGTGGCGCAAGCCTCGTCGCAGAGCGGCGCCCGCGCAGCAGGTGCAAATCGACAGCAATCTTCGTTAAATTGGAATTGTCGGCAGTTCTGGGTGGCACTCCGTTCAGTTCATGGCCCCTAAGACGGGCCATGAATTGGTGTGGCATTCATCAAAGTGTATGTACTCGTAAGACAGCACGTCGATCCGATTTCCTACTTCCCAGAGCGAGGTCCAACCAGCTCTGCTACTCTGCTGCTCTGCTCTGCTGCTCTCGATACCCTGATCTAACTGAACTATCACCAGCGTGCCAGCTCAAGTGAAGAAGAAGCAGAAGAGGAAAAAGAAGATGAAGAAGAAGATGATACTGATCCCCAAGAAATCACGGGATATTCACAACCTACAACGACATCATCGAGGGCGCATCCTGCAACCGCGGCAGCTCCACTTCTAGTTCTCGAATAATCCCCTCGCGCATTTTCTGTTCCAATCTGGTAGTCCTCTTCCCTCAAACGTCCCCCAGTCATGTTGGATCTCATCTTCCTCCTGCTCCTCAGTCTCCACCCTCCAGGCTCTCTCTCTCTCTCTCTCTCTCAAACCAAAACCTCAGATCCTCCCGAAATCAAATGTCCAGATCACCTATCGTCGGCAAATGCTCGCAATCGTCCAAGGGGACCATTCCCTTCCCTTCCGTCCCGTCCTCCCTCCCTACCTATCTGCGGACTTCTTCCCTTCTATCCCCTTGCGAATCGGCTCGAGTCGTCTCCTCCTCTTTTAGTCTTCCCCGTTCCTCCGAGCTCCAGTCAGTCAAGTCAACAGCCTCCTCCTCCTCCCCCTCTCCCTTCCCCCGAACCCGCACCTCCGGGCGTGCCCATGTTCCCTCAGAAAGACCTACCGTCTCTCAGACCCTCCTCTGCCCGCCCGTCCCTCCGTTCGTCCGTCGTCTGTCTGTCTGTCTGTCAGCCGGTCTGTCCGTCCGTGTCTTCTACCCTCTACACTCTCTCTACACTCCGCCTCCCCGTTCCACTGTCAGCTGCCCTCAGCTCCCCCTTCAGCTCAGCTCAGCTCGGCTCAGATGATCTGATCGATCGGCCCATCTCATGAAGGCCGACCCAACCCTGGGCTCCCTCTTTCCCGCGTGCACGCGCACTAATCAAACATGGACCTGGCACGGGGCCTCCTCGCCATGCTCCGGATGTATGTGTGCGACGACGACGACTGCCTCGAGAGACAATCAAGGCCTTCCTTCGTCCTTCATCATCTTCTTCTTCTGCTGCTGCTCCTGCTCTCGAATCGCCGCCCACTTTCTCGACTCCTGCGGCTCCTGTGTCTCTCGGTCGGACGGCTCAGCCGGCCAGCCAGCCTGGACCCCCGTTCCTCGCCGTCGCCCCTCTTCTCCTCTTGAAGAAACTCAGCTCGAGCGCAGCAGCTCGTCTCGTCTCGTCCCGCAGACGCAGCCGGTCCCCAGATCGGCAGTACGAGAGAGACCCGGGGACAGCAGGTAGAGACGAACGCCAATGACAGGCGCGAGAGATGCGCCATCCACGATGAACATGGCTAAAATGGATGGTTAATTCGGGCAGTCCCGGGACGGGACTGGACGGGACGAGATGAGGCCGGAGAGTAGACTCTGGGACCTTCTGGGGACAGACAGGGGGCCGCAGGATGGGATGGGATGGGGTCGAGCGAGCCCTGCGGTCCGGAGGACCGAGGAGGGGACGACGATGACCGGTCCGGAATGTTCCCTCCCGGGTCGCGGGTGCTCCCAGTGGGCACTAATAGCGGACCCTTTCAAACCGTGGTCCATAAGACGACGCGCTTTGCTGGAACTGTGCGGTGGACTTGTGAGGCTGCTGGCGCAACTCTCGGACCAGGCCTGCGACCGCTTGGAGCTTCCGCCGTTGACTCGGAAAATCGGAGGTTTCCCCGAGCTGATATAATCTAGTCTTCCCAAGGCTCGTTAGATTTCTCCGAGTGCCCCGAACGAGCCAGCCGAAATAGCTACTACATGTTGTTGAGTTGGCCTCGTGGGTGCGCCTCGATGCTCCTCAGCTTCTCTGTCTCATACTTCCATCTGACTCACTTCACTGTCATTTACTCGCGGTCGTTGGGTTATAGTTTTCGCCTGTGCGTAGGACGACGGTAAATGCATGCTCTCAAAGAATGCTGCGATATAGTACCTCGTGCTGATAGGGTCCTACATGTTCGCTTGCGCGAAATCTCTGAACGCCCGCAAGAGTTTATATTAAACATTAAACCCTATCTTAAAGGGAATTTTCTCACTGCATTTATAGAATCACTGACCACGTGCTTTAGGTAGAGTGGGTAGCATATGAGCTCGTGATTATATGTCTCTGCAGAACCAAGGCGAGATAGATATCTACCTCTTATTACTGTCTAGACTCTATGACTAATGTAGATGAATGTGTTGCTAATTATCTCCAGTTTTGTTTTAGCACCGCCTTCCAAAATTTATTACAAATCTATTGATGTGAAAACAAGGTATTGAAATTGAATGTATTATTTAAGATAATTATATCAAATATGTTATATATAGTCAAAGTGAAAATTATATAATTTGTATATTACTCTATGGCACACATTTTGTGTGATAACCAACCCACCCACCACCTTTTAAGGCTAAATTGCAATATAGTAGCAAAGGGTCGAATCAATAGGGATAAAAACAACACACAGAATACAAAGTGTCACGTTTTAACAGTCTATTGAGTAGTTTGAATTCTCAGACTACTGTCACTCTCAGAAATATAACAAGTGTTCAACTCGGAGGTCACTCAGAGGACACACAATGCAGCGTAGTACACCCCAAACACACACCTGAAACTGTAAATGCACAACTCAGAGGTCGATCAAGACCCCCACTTAAGATTCACGGGGAAAGTTTCCCAAGAGTACACTCAGAGGATCTGCAGGTAGCTACCAATTTCGAATATGCTTAAACCCTGTCACTAGCCACTGCTGGTGCAGAGCATTCGGGTTGGAATTCATACTCCGGATGCGGTACCTTCGTCAAACCGAAGTCACTTTCACGTGGTGAACAACACACTCAACTCACAAAACGCGCTGAGAATACAAAAATCCGAAGTGAGAAACTAAGTTGAGAAAAGATCTAGTGTTACAACTTAACAGTCTATTGACGAGTTTGAATTCTGAGGCAACTGTCATTCCCAGAAATACTGCGAAGGCTACCTCCGAAGGCGCCAGAAGCAGCGTAACACACTCAACTTGAAATCAACCAATGCTTACTCGGAAGTAAACAATCTTCACTTTGGTATTCAGGGGGGAAAATCCCGAAGGAGCACAATCAGGTAAAAACGTCAGAAGGTATTAGTCCGAACTTGCTTAAATCCTGACTAGTTAACTGCTAGTACATAACATTTGGACGAAGGTCTTCTACTATAAAATGTGGTAACTTCGACAAGCTATAGCTCCTCTTGCGTGATGACATAACGAAAGACACAAACATGCAGAGAAAACGCTTCCTGAACTGAGCTCGCGAAACTGGAAAATCCCCCAAGGCCAATGCCTTGGACTGCTTTATACACTCTAAAATCCTAACTACCTAACACTCTACCTCCCTACCACTAATTCCCTACCTGTCCACTCGTCTTCTCTCCTACGCAGTCCGAGCCCTCGCAACACCTCGATAACCTCTGCCTCGAGGTTCGCAATGGCATCCCGCGACCTGGACAGGAATGACTCCAACCGCTTCGCCACTCGCCGCCGACTTCGTCCGTCGCCAGCCATCAAAGCTGTCGCGCGCATCTCAAGTTCGCTCAACGTCACACTCTCCCGCGCCGTGATCTTCCAACGAGCATAACTACTCAGACAATGGTCAACCCGCAAAACTAATTCATCCCGCGTGCGATCTGTCGCGCGCCGGTTGTGGCCTTCAACCTCTGCCAACTGTAACTCCGCCTCCCCCCGTTGCCTTAATTCGTCGCACTGCGACTGCAGTCGACCCAGCAACTCCTCGTCTGCCCTCATAGCGGCCTCGCTCTACTATAACGCCTGCGTCTTTCGCACGAGCTCATCCGCCAGATTGCGGATTTGAATCTGCTCAACATTGGAGTCCATCTGGACCTTCGCACGCAGCTCATCAATTTCGCACCGTGCATTGGTCACCATCTCATCTCGCAGCTTAAGCGCCGCCTTTTGCAGTTTTTGAGCTAAGGCACATTGATCCTCCAGAAAGTTATAGCGCTCCTTCAACTGCCGATACTTCTGGTCTAGTGTAACACTAGGGTTTAGAGAGAAGTTCACTCGAAGATAGAAACGTAAACTCTGAAGATGAGAGATACCAACAATGGTTCTCCTCTCCCTTATATAGCTCTCACCAACAAGTACAAGGTGATAAGATCTAATCCCCACCATCCATCCCACTCTTAGTGGATGGATGACGTGGCGGATAACCCTAACAAGCACACGGATTGCTGGCGTGGCGCACCCAACTAACACACTAACTAACACACTCAATCCTTACCTACAAGCACACGGATTGCTGACGTGGCACTGTCAACTAACACATCCACTCTGTACCTACCAAGTGCGCGGATCGCTGATGTGGCAGCTATGACTAGTGCACACTAAAGTATCTACAACCATTTTCAGAGTAACCTCTACTTTAGTTCTAACTAACTAAAGATGGTTACAAACCTCCCTCCTTTTAAGATGCAACGTCCTCGTTGCACATACGTTCAAACTCCTGAACTATCAAAGGTGCATTTGCTAAATTTTTAGCTGGTTCCCAAGTTGATTCATACGATGGATAGCCTTTCCATTGAATCAAATACTCTACTTTGGGATATTTATGACCTCGAATTCGTTTCTTGAGTATCTTTTCTACCTCAAACTCCTCATGATCTGCTATCAAGGTTGGAAGAGGAGGTGGTGCTGGTTGGTTGGTGAATTGTTTTGGTCGTGGTACATGTTTTCGCAATCGTGACACATGAAATACTGGATGTATTTTCATATGTGACGGAAGTTCCAACTTGTATGACACTTCACCAACACGCTTAAAAACCAAAAATGGACCAATGAACCTAGGGTTTAACTTTGGTGTTCCTACAAGAGACAAATTCGTTGTAGATAACCAAACATGATCTCCAACCTCAAAAATCACTTCTCTACGATGAGCATCGGCATGCTGCTTTTGCCGATTTTGAGCTATCACCAACTTCTCCTTGGCCTGATGTAGTCCTTGGTGAATATGCTCCACGAATTCGTTGACGGCTGCAACTTTGGTCGAAAACTCCTCTCCTTTTGGAAGTCTCATCAAACTTGAAGGAGTGATCGGATGAGCTCCATACATAAGAAAAAATGGAGACACTTTTGTGGATGCATTAACAGAATTGTTATATGCAAATTTCACAAGTGGCAAAAGGTTGTCCCACTCTTCTTGCTCTTCTAATGTGAAGGCTCGTAGCATATCCTCTATGGTTCTATTTGCCCTCTCAGTTTGTCCATCAGTTTGAGGATGATAGGCCGTTGACATTGCTAGTTTTGTTTTGAAAAAACTAAACAAAGTTTTCCAAAATAAACTAGTGAAGTGAGTACCTCTATCCGTGATTAACACTTTGCTTAAGCCATGATTTACAAAAACTGCATCTAGATACAATTGAGCTAGTTGTGGAGCTGTTACTGTTTTTGTGGTTGGCCTGATGTGAATCATCTTGCTCAATTTGTCCACAAAAACCACCACTGAATCATGTCCTAACAAAGTCCTTGGTAACTCACATACAAGATCCATGGTGACATGTTCCCACCGCTGTTCGGGAATAGGAAGAGGCTGTAATAAACCCGCTGGTTTTTGATTACTTGCCTTGTTTTGTTGACAAGCAACACAACTTCGAACATAAGACTCCACATCCTCACGTATTTTGGGCCAATAGTACACTCGTTGTATACTCTCCACGGTTTTCTCCACTCCCACATGACCTGCAATGGCTGTATCATGACTTTCTGCCAAAATCATTGTGCGCAAATCGTGATCTTGTGGAATCCATATACGCTGATTGTAAAACGCCAAACCTCGAGATTTCTGTGCCTTTCCAATTTGTAGTGCCCGAGTGATCTCTTCATCCTCCTTTGTGGCTTGTGACATCTTGCTCCACCAATCCGCCTGAATTTTCACTTCTGCAACATGATTCAAACAAGGCATGCGTGTGAGAGCATCTGCAAGTTGCTTCTTTCCCTCCACGTACACAATCTTCATGTTGAAGCGTTGACGCCACTCTGCCCATCGAATTTGTCGTTTGGACAGATCCTTCTGAGTTTCCAAATAAACCAAGGGTTTATGATCAGTCTCCACCACAAACTCCTTGTCACCCAAATAATGCTTCCAATGTTTGGTTGCCAACACGATAGCTAACTCCTCTCGTTCTGTCGTGTGATAATTTTGTTTCGCCGCCACCAACTTTCGAGAATAGAAAGCAATTGGATGCCATCCATCCTCCCATTCTTGTTGAAG